TAATGGCTTCTTTCATTAGTCAAAGAAAGAAAATGCATCAGAGAGAAAAGCCTAGTGAATGAACTCATAGGAAGAATTATGGGAGCTTGTAATCTGCACAAGGACATTTCCAGGAGGCAAAGAAATCACAGCCCTGAACTTTTGAGTGTCCTAATGTGCAGGCACCTGTGTGTTCTCCTTGCTGACACCTGGCTCTGGTAATTATGCCAGGAGGATCCAGGTTTACTGGGAGTGGGGAGAATATTCTGAGAATTCACCATGTGTAGGTTTGCCTAAGTATCTAAAGCTCTTTTCCTCTTTTGTTTTTGTTCCATGTGTGATGTGTTCCGTGAGAGTTTCTTAAGTGTTAGCATTAATAACTTGGGAGCTGAGTGTGACAAATGTCCAGAGGCCAGACTCAGTGTCAGCAACCACAGCCGTGCTGTTTCCATACTTGCCATCTCTACTGACCGTGTAAAAGGGATTTTTACAGACCATGAATTTTCACATTCGTGGACATGCCCTGAGAAAGCTGTCAAGGCAGTAAAGGCGTTATTTAAACCAGAAAGGAATTGTAAAGAAACAATTGAACCTAATTCCAGTGGTTTGCTGTTAGAAAAAGCCAAACATGGAAATACTTGGTGGGGTGGGGGCACAGTGGGAGAGAAGTTATTTTTTGGAGTCTGTTTCAGATAAACTCACTTCACAAGACATAAATCAGTGTTTGCCTCAGGGGTGCATATTCATTAAGGCTGGTGGAAGTATATGCAGGATTGGTGTTATTTTCAGGGTGTTTGTCTCAGTGACAATAGAACAAATGGTCATTAAAGTTGAAATTCCCAAAGTTTTGTATCTATTTCTAGCTATGCTCTATGGGTAGGAATCACTGTTTTAGTTATAACTTGGAATTACCCTCAGAGACATGTCAAGTATATAATGTATAATCTTCCAGAGTATCCTCCCGTGTGCCCATAAGGTAAAGACAGTGATGTCATTGCAGAGATGTGTCTTCCTCGGGGCATCGGCTGGGGAACTCTGACCCCTGAAATGTGATGAACCTAGAAGTGGGAGTAAATATGGGTTACTGAGCACAAGAGGCGCATTCTCAAGGTCAAGGTCATGGGACAGTTGCTACTCTGCTCCTCCAGCTCTGGCCATGCATCATGAGCTGCAGATCTACTTTGCCAAGCATTCTCTAGCTTGTTTGTGCGATTAAGCCTGGCAATTAAACCTCTCCATGACCCAGACTATACTTGTTTGAAATGGTCATCTCCCATCATCCCCTGATCCTGGGGCTGGTGTCTCATGTTACACTCACTAGGACCACTTCCTGACATGTCTTCATCCTCTCTTCACTATCCCCCTACTCATCAACAATACATGGATGCATTGCTTTGCCTTGGTCTCTGAAGTCTGGCTCAGACACCATCTCCATACTTCTGTGGGCCCTGGCTCACAATAGTATATCACCAATCACTTCAATGTTTCCAAACTTTGGACCAACAGATATTTGCTGACTGTTGAAGCTCAAGTTCTATGCTATGTCCTTCAAATTATGTCTTTCTCAGTCATTTGTAAGTGAAGATCTCATTCCCACTTTTCCAACACATTTTCATTACTCATAAAACACAGTCTGAGCTCCTTATCCTCTCTCTAGAACTGTGTATGTGTTCTGTTCCATGACCAAGCTCCCATCCTATTCTTTCTTTAGTGACTGCATGAGTAGGGTGGGGGCATTTGGAGTGACCATTGCACAGCTTGTTCTGCTCTGTCATCAGAAACAAACAAATGCCACCCAGAGCATCTTCCCAAGATGGTGTAGCCAGGGAATAAAGAACTGTGGTTCCTGGGAGAAGGGCAGAAAATAAAGGGAGTCCCACAGTCCCCTCTCTTGCTGACTTCCTGAAGACACTCCCTCCCTACCCCCACCCCGTGCTGAGGAAAGAATTTAGAGGTCCCCTGAGACTTCCTGAGTTTGGGGACACAACCAAAAGTGTAAGATGGCCAAGTCATGGAGTAGTGCTCTCAGGATAGAGTGAGGGGGAGGGAAGACCTGCACACAGACACAACTGTGGGGTCTGTGGAGGGTATCCCTTGGGTATTCTGGGAAGAAACTACTAGAGACCAGAGACAGAGCCATCTGAAAGGATGGGACACAGATCCTGGGCTCACAGGACTGGCCAGAGTCAGTTGCCCAATTGTTGAAAGGTGCTGAGGTGGCCAGAATGACTGTGGGAATGATGAGCCCCAGACTGAGCACTGCTTTAGCTTTTAAAAGCCAGACTTCTTTCTCTGATTCCACATTTACATGGGGGCTGTACAGCCTTGTGAAACATGAAATACCATGAGCTAAATTTACCTTCCACAATATTGTCATAAGCACACCTATTTTCTGTGTCACAAGTTGGCCTGGAGATTCCAAGGAAAGGGAGTAGACAGTGATTTCTATAGTGATGGACAGCTACAAGAGAGTGGAAAACTTCCTAGAGGGAGTTATAGAATTGAAGACACTGACTCATGACGACAGGAACCAAGCCCTGGAAATGCTGTTGGATCAGACAGTCGGATGGACACAGAGACCCCCATGCATGTACAATGTCAGTCACTGAGGCAATCATCCTTTATTTCCTATCAGGGATACTCACCCTTTGATATATTACTGTTTCTAATCTCAATACCATTGCTGTCCTCCAATGAAAAGAGGGACTTTATGGTAGCTTTTAGGATGTGTATAATGACCTTGCCTACTCAGAAAAGCTAGAGTTGAGTGATGTATCATTGGCCAATTTTGTGAATCTTAGGGGGTCACTTTTGTGAATTCTATTTATGGCATTTGAGAATGAATTTCCTAAAGAATTATCTTTGGAGAGTTAAATGCCATGAAGTAGACCCCTAAGATGGAGAACAAGGTGACAGTGTCTGCTTTTGTCACCTCATTTGTCTTGTTACTCCCATTGGTCACAGCTAGTGCTATAAGGCAAGAAAAATAAGCAGCTGCATATAAATCACAGAGAAACAATATCTGCAGCTGACTGAATTCTCTGCATAGAAAATGCCAAAGCACCTTTGAAAAATGGCTAGAATTAATGAATTCAAGATCACAAGATACCACATAAACACACACACAAAAATCACAGTTCTACATACTCTCAATGAGCATGTGGAAATTAAAATTAAAGAACAAAAATGAACTGCAACTTAAACCTTATCCAACAATTTCCTCAAAAAGAGTCATGGACATGAACATAAACAAAATTCTAAAAATGTTTAGGAAAAAAATACATGGGAAAATGTTTAAGTATTTAGGACTAACAAGACTTGGCACCCAAAGCATGGGGGGGGGGCGGGATTTTGTGCTCTGTGAAAAGTTCATATGCAATGGTCTGAGTATTTTCCTCCCCCAAATTCATATGCTACAATATGATTAGAGCATCAGGACTCCACACATAATGAGGTCACGAAGGTGGAGTTCTCCAGGGGTTCAAGTCCTTCTTAGCAAACACAGAGATCTAGATGCCATGTTCCCATGAGGTAAGGCAACAGCAAGAAGACCCCAGTGACTTGTTCTATATCCTCAGCCTCCAAAAGTAGGAAACACATGTCTTGTTGCCGTAATCACACATCTGGTGGCATTTTTGTTAATACACCCCAAACTCAGGCACCATGGGACATTCTTAGAAAGATATGCTGCAGTTTGAGAAAATAATTTGCAAGTCTTATGCCTGTGAAAGAACTGGTACAAAGAACTTTTAAAAGCCAGGAGTGAAAGGGCAAACAAGCCAATGGGAAAAATGAGAAAAAACTGAAAGACATTTTACTGAAGAGGAACCAGATGGCTAATAGCTAGCAAAAAGAAATCATTCAACATCTTTACACATTGGGGAAATTCAAAATAGAGCTGGAAATGTAAATCCATGCATAACTATCAGAACAACTAAACTAGAAGACACACACCATGTTTGCTATGATGCAGGGAACCTGGATCACTCTTGCATCATGGGTGTGTGATCAGCCATCATAGAAAGCAGTTTCAGTGTTCGCAAAACTAACTGCAATAACTATACCTAGCAATTGTTGCCTTGGACAATTACTACAGAGAAATAAAAAACATATATTCACATAAACACCTGCACAAGAATTGCATATTTTATTTTTATTAGCCCCAAATTTTAAGTTACCCAGGTTAAACCAATTGTGGTACATCTATGTAGTGGAATACTATCCACCAATAAAAAGGAATGAACTGTTAATGCATACAATAGCTTTGTGGGTCATAAGACAATTGTGATGAATGAAGAAGAAAGAAAATAAACAATTGCAAATGGTCACATGTTTTGTGATTCTTTTTATCTAACATTCTTGAAACAGGTATCGAAGAGCAAGCTAATGTTGACAGAAGGTATTTGAAGTGGGAAACAGGGGGAGGGAGAAATGTTTGCTTATAAGAGGCGCAGAGGAGGCCCACAGTGGTGGGGTATTCTATATCTTGACTGTACTGTCACTATCCTGGCTGAGATAGTGAGCTAAGCTGTGGTTTTGCAAGATGCCACCAGTGGGTACACATGATAACTCAGCATTATTTCTAACAATTGCACGTGAATCCACAATTCCCTAAATCTAAAAAAAAAAAAAAAAAAAAAAGTCATTTAAAAACTTGACGTTTTAATAAATACTCATCATTGTCAAACCACACTTTGTGACTGATAAAAATTACCCTCCTTCTTACATGAATATCCCAATATTTTCTCAGCTATCTTACTGACTACCCAACAATTACCAAAATTATGAAAGACATGTTTTCATATTAAGAACAGTTTGAGCAGCATAGGAAAAAAAATAAACAAACGTGTATCTTAAAGGCTAATTTTAAGTGTGAATAAAATGCAGCCACACACAAAACGAGCTTTCTGTGAAACAGGGCAGCTGCCTGTGTTGTGCTGTCCCCGGGCTCCTGTGTACCCTGGATTCTGCATCTGGGTGACCAGGAAGAACTGACCCTTTGCCTGCCTTTCTGCTTTCAGGATCTCCTCTTCAGCGTGTGTGCCCTCAACGTCCTCTCCACCATTGTGTGTGCATTGGCCACGGCCATGTGCTGCATGCAGATGGTCTCTGCTGATGTCCTGCAGATGGTGAGTGACCCCACTCCTGCCCAGCCCCCTTGCAACCAACCAGAGTCCGGGACCTTGGGTTCTGTCAATCCAATCTGCCGAGGGGTCCTTGGAGCCACCTTGTGTTGCATTCTGAAAAAGGGGGACTTGACTGTGGTTGCCCTATTTCAGACATTAGCTGAGTTCCATGATTATGCTAGAGTCATCCCCGCTCCCGGCCTCAGAGCACCTGGAATGTGTCCCAGAGTTAGAGCAAGACTTGTTCTTATTCTGAGAATTTTCTGCAATAAAAGTGTAGAGTTGATGATTTCTCAAACTGAAAAAGTGCTGTTCTTTGCTTTGGAAATTTGCTAATTAACTCTGAGGTCATGGTTCAGTGGCCCTCATTTGTTGTCATGGCCAGGGTCTTTAGGACAAAAAAGACCTTCTGCTCCCATAGGAGTGGTAAGGTCAGAGCAGGGGTCATTTCTTATTAATAAACATCTCTAAACACACACTTCATGAGTCATGGTTGCTCTTTGTTGTCTCAGCATGAATGGACCACAGGCTAGGGTTCAATATGTTATTGTGAAACTCATAATGAAAAGAAAATGGTATTGGTTTTTTACCCTAAGGATAGGAGCCACTCTTGTGCCCGTGCTCCCTCCTTCCCATTTGCTATCTCTCTGTCTGCTTTTGCTTTCTCTTACTGTAACAGAATAGCCAAGATGAAGTAACTTATAAAGAAAGCAAGTTTAGTTAGCATCCAGTTCTGGAGGGTGGGGAGCTCAAGACTGCACAACTGCATGATGTTGGCTTCTGGTGTAAACCTCATGGTAAATGGCAGAAGGGAATTGGACACACACGGGAGACAGAAGGCAAAGGCTAACCTCGTTTGCTTTTTAACAGCCCTGCCCCCCCCCAGTGGTAGCTAACCCTATTTATTACAGCGACTACTCACTCCCTCTAGATAGCATAAATCCATCAGAAGGGGTGCTCTTACAGGAGCACATCCCAACACCAGCATTTTGGGCTGGGATAAGTCACATTCAAGCTCTCCATGTCTTTCAGCCTAACCCACAAGGCCACTGTGCCCCCCACCCAATGATGTTTTATGCATTTCATGGATGAAAAGACAAGTTATTCCTACAGTGGGTTTTTCTTTTAAGTCTTCCTCCTCACCCACCCCTTAGCAGAGCATCTGTTCATCAAGATACAAGGCCAGAGAACATCATTACCAATATGTTAAAACTCGGTTGGTCCTAATTGTATGTGGCTTGCAGCCTGGTGCATTCTCACAGCATACATCCACACAGCTGTCATAGCGAGCTGACCTTTCTGAGAGGTCACTGTGTTCTGAAAGGTGTCTAATTAAGCAGTTATTCAGCAGGGTGAACTTTTGGCCTCATTCATCGAGGCCTTGTGTTGGCAATTTTCTCCAACATGCTGTATAAAGGAAAGCTTAAATATAAATACCAGAAGCTTCTACCCGTATCAGTGGATTTTGCCATTGATCTGTAAATATCACACCAATTCAACCAAACTAACAGAACTGAAGGCTGTAGATAATAGCAGTTTTTAATTCCCGCAATTTTAAACACTAAAATGAAAATTGACAACTAAGTAAGATTAAGGTATATTCTAGCTGTGTAAGCACTCAAAATTAAACCAAAGTAGGCATTGTCCTTATTGGTGGCCATGTTGAACAGAAGCAGGTGTGGGGTCATGCATCAAGCATGTCTGCATCTGAGCCCCACTTTTCTGTCTCTGTGGTACCTCTGAGCACGTCACTGAACCTCCTTGTCTAGAAGTTTCCTCACCTGTGAAAGGGGCCTCACAGGACCACCTGCCAATCATTGTTGACTTTTACTTGTTGGCAGCCCTGTGGATGGAGCTAGCCTTGTAGGAGCTAGGAAACAGTTCTACCACTTTGCTATGCCACCCCTCCCCCAGGTTTATTTTCAAAATGGTAGGAGTATCAGCCAATTCCTGGACATCACAGCAGTGATGTCACAACTGTGACATCACCATAATGACATCATGACGGCACCGACTGCAAATGCAGTATGGTTTTACTGTGATGTGCTGTGGGCAGGAGATTGTTACAGGAATTACAAAAGCCATGTCTTAGTTTCCTGTCATAATGAAATACCCTAGGGTAGACTCCTCTAAAGAGGTTATTTAGATGGCTCCTTAGAAGGCCAGAGGGGCAGAACAGCATGGTAGATGGCATCATAGTGAGCAAAGATGTGTGAAGAGATCGGGCTAACTCTTCATGACAAGCTCTCTGAACTGAAAGCATGGCCTTACTTTCCTCTGAAGGCCTTACCTCCAGTCACCTAACTCCACCCCCACCACCCTCACCCTTCCCAGGAGGCCTCTCCTCTGAAGCACCATGCTGAGGACAGTGGGGGATTAAAGACATCCAAGCCACAAGCTACCATCAGAAACCTCCTGGCTTGTAAGTAGGAACAATTGAGCTGACAGCCACACGCTGTGGCACAGGCAAGGTTCTGGTCTCCTGGTCAAGCTGAGCTGTGTATGTCCCAGCATCATGGAGAGGGAGCAGGAGGAAGAGCTGTGTGTGAGACCAGCCTCAGGAACCTGTGGGCACATCACCACCCACTGGTCTTGCTTCTTTTGCACTGAAGGCCATTATGTGTTTGAGCCTTTCCATCCTGCCGGAACTGCTGAGAGGATGGATCATATGCTGTGAAGAATTTTTTATTTAAATCAGGGTAGCCATGTGGAGTGTGGCTGACCCTGGCTGGCTATGGTAGCTGTACCCTGGAAGAAGTGGGCTAGCCCAGTGGGGTTGTGGACACACCCAGTCAGATGTAACCAGGATGTTTGGGAGGATGCCTTGAAATTTCTTTTCAGCCTTACTTCATTTCATTCAGTTATGTAATTTAAAGGAATAATATATGATCATTGGATGAAACAAAATTACATAGCAGTGCATAAAGAAAAGTTAATGACCTTCCTCACCTGCCCCTGGGGGAGACAAATGCTACCACTTGGCAGTGAGTCCTTCCATTCACCCATTATATCTAAGTGCATATGCAAATACATATAAATAATTGTCCTTCCTCGAATTCCACTTCCCCCAGCCTAGTGCTTGTGAGGTAGTTTAGATTTGCATTTTCTGGGTGATTAATGATGTTGGCTCTCTTTCTGTGTTTAATGGCTATGAATAGCTCTTCAGTGGAAAAGGGGGCTTTACTTTGCCCATTTTTTAAGATTGGAATTGTCTCTTACTGCTGAGTGATAGAGTTCTATGTGTACTCTGGATACAGGTCGCTCTTCAGAGGCACGGTGTGTAAATGTTTTCTCCCATTCTGTTGATTATCTTTACACATGGTGGTATCTCTCAAACCACAACACTTAAGTTTCAGTGAGGCCCAGTATATCTCTTTTTCTGATTCCTACTTTTGCTTTTTGGTATCCTGTCTCCCAAGGAAATGAAATCATTCCTTCCAGAGTTTTGCAGTCTTAGTTGATGCTGTCATGCACATTGTAAGGGTCCGGTTTTGTGTGATTCCTGACACGGTTCATGCCATGGATTTGGCTCAGTGTCACGGCTCAGTTGACCACAGATGTGTGGGTCTATTGAGGGCTCCCAGTTCTATTTCATCTGTCTATCTTTGTGGCAGTTCCACAGAGCCTTGGTCAGGGCAGGAACTCAGACAGGGCAGGAACCTGGAGGTGATGGCTGATGCAGAGGCCACAGAAGAGTGCTGCTTACTGGCTTCTGCTTGCTCAGCCTGGGTTCTTATAGAACCCAGAACCACCAGTCCAGGGATGGCACCACCCACCATGGGCTGGACCCTCTCCCATCATTCCCACTAATTAAGAAAATGCCCTACACGCTTGCCTGTAGCCGGATCTTCTGGTGTTATTTTCTCAATTGAGGCTCCCTCCTCTCATAGACGTTAGCTTGTGTCAAGGTGATGCAAAGTTATCCAGCACAACCCTGTCTTGCTCTCCTAGCTGACATCAAAGGAGAACATCCTCCTATACTGCCCCAGGGGCATGTCATGCCATGCAAAGAAGGCAGCCGTGAACCATTCATGGGCACTCATTCTGCCATACTGCTGTCCTCAATTGACTCTGGAGTGTTAGCAGACAGAACCCCAGCCATGATTCCTACTGAGGCTCATATGTAACTGTCACATTAACTTTTCAGAGGAATTCCAACTTGGTGTCATGGACTAACACAGCCAACCATTTGTTCTCTGGCCTCCTTGGTTGATTGTAGGAGCCACTAGGCAGCTCTGATGTTGGCTCGTGGATACAGGCAACTCAAGGTTATTACAGCACCCAAGGGCTGAGCAGCACTCTTAGGGTGTAGAATTCTAAGTATCCACATCTTCCTTATAATTTGAATGCATTTGGGGGATAATTAGCTGCAGCTGGAACTAACGTCATGAATGCACAAGATGGTGTTACTCCTATTATCAGATCTGCTAAAGCCCAGTGCTTCTAGCATGTGCAGAAATAGTAACTGTACGATGATACAATTCTGTTTATTGACACAGCACAGTGAAGAAGGTTCTTTACTTCCTAAGTGTCTCTAGTGTCGTCTCTCATTTTGTTTTTAAATGTAATCTCATTTTCCTACTTTCTGCTGCATCATTCTCCTTGGCATTTCCCTCGATGCCACCCTAGCCTCAGAAGCATCCTCAGCTTTTACTTGTCACAGTCATCTCACAGTGGTGCCTGATGATTTCACCTCTGCTCATGGGGACCTTGAAGTGGACCCACTTCAGACAGTGCAGATGGGTGTGCACTTTGCACAGGCCTGACAACTGTGAGAATACACTCAAGTCACCCAAAGAGCCAGAATGCCAAGGGAAAGCTGGGGATAGCCTTTGTTCCTGGGGGCAAAGAAGGCAGGGAGTCATGCATAGGGCAAATCCTACCCTCAGGTAGCCAGGCTTTTGCTGTCCAAGCCTGCCCTTCATCGTATTCCCTTGCAGAAGTTTGGACAGAGACAAGAGCGCTAGTGACTATGACAGACTTTCATTTGAGCCTTCTGACACTGCTGCATGGATCTGTGACACAAGGTGGCATTTCATATTACAATCCTGGTGACACCAGGGGAAAGGAACCTGAGACTAATAGGTCAATAAGGTGCAGTCACGTGGGCCTCAGTGGTCATTCAGTGTCTGGAGACCAGACTTCTGACTGGTAGTCTGAGGTCCATTAACCTCTTCATGGTCTCCTCCTGGCTGCAGAAGCTAGACTGTGTGAGCTGAGCCAAATTTTAGGGGGTCCATGTTGTAAGCCTTGGGTAGCTACCCTGGGCCAAGTAACTGCAGCTCCCAGTGCCCCTGGCTTTCAGGTGTTCCTGGAAGAAGCCCCCTCTTCCATAACAGATAGGACATAAGGTCTCAGGTGCACACTGCTATTGGATGAGTGATAACCCCTTGGGGGGATGTGTGAGCAGCTCAGCCAGTTTCCACACACAGGTGTGCTGGTGTCTTCATGTGGTTTGGACAGCCCAGGGAAACAGAACCACTCAGAGATGACTCAGAGCCCATTTTCTACCTTCTCTTGGAGATGTAGAATTATGCTTTATACCTGACCATGGAGGTGTCGACATGAGGTCTCAGAGTATGGGGCCTGAGTGGGGAGGATGTGGGCTGGCAGACAGACCTTCCAGTCATGGACATTCTTTCTGCCTAGTCCTGAAGGAAGTCTGGCAGGTTGCCTGGTAGAAAGAGGAAACAAAGCACGATGGTGTAGAGGGTGGCTGAGCAAATCTTGTTTGGAGCGGGGGAGGGGTTGGGGGGGCTGTTGTTGGCACTGGTTGGAAGGAAGCTGGAAACTGGATGGGATTCTGTGTACAGAGGTCTTGGTGGTAAAAGATTTTCCAACAGCATGAGCTCATCTAGGCTGGTTTAAAAATAGCTCCTGCACAAAATGGAGCAGAGGCCAGGTATCTTGCTCCTTCACATCTCTGTTGGCTGCTTCTACAGGAGCCAGAGAGAGAGGAAGGACACTGCAGCAGACAGGTAGCCATCCCTCCACTCGGCTGATGTTGGCTGAGCATGTGCCAGGCCCCATTTAGGAGAGGATGGAGGATAAAACACTGGCAGTCTGACCGTCCGTGTACTCGTTACTTTTCTATTGCTGGGATTAGAATACCATGGCCAAGGCCATTTACAAAAGAAAGCAACAGTCCCCAGGAAAGACAGTCATGCCCAGATGTTGGGTGCTTTAGCATTTCATGAGGTTTGCTTGAGTATACTGTTGATTCTTCTCATTCCAGAGAGACTAATTCCGAATAGTCCCAGGACTATCTGCCCTCCTGTTGACACTGAGCTGTCAGAGGCAGAGGGTGACAGCACACATCTAACCTACTCACAGCCATCAACTCCCCTCTAATTTCCCACAATGAAACAGCAGTGAGTCAGACTAGCTGGAAGGGATTGTGCCATGCACTGGGAAGGTTGGTGGCAGCCATTTTGAAACCCCTGTGTCCCTCATTCAGGCGTAGTCATCAGCCCAGGGCACACTGATTTCACTGCATTTGAGCATATTCTGAACCCTGCACTCTTCCCTGCCAGTGCAGAAATTCTCCCACTACCTGGCCCCCTGTCTGGACGAGCCCACCCTATTCCTACCTCTACTGGGTGCTCCCTGCCACCCAGCTCTAATGTCTTCACTGGCTCCCTGCACATTCCCAGAATTAAGGATTAACCAGATCCTTCTTGATTTCCTCTTCTGAAACACTCCATTCACTGGTCACCATTTCTTAGAGCCTGGAGGCGCCCCTGAAGGCCCAGCCTTTGCTGCCCCACCAGACTTTCAAGGCCCATTTAGGTCTCATCTGCTTCATGAATGCTTTGAAGATCCCATTCAAACACTGATTGGAGGACTGTATTTGCTAATGAAGCTGTTGTGCTTAACTGTGTCCATGTGACTCTTAGTGTTTGTCTCTTTTCTCTTTTCTCCTACTGACATGCTCTGGGAAAGCTTGGAGCCCATGCAGTGATTCATTTTACACCTAGAGATGAGGCAGTGTCTCAGGCATTTCCCCCAGAACAGGTGACCTCTGGCAGGAGGCCCCGAGGGTGGAAAGAAAAACAAGTATTTGTTAATACGTTAGAAACAGAAATCCAGGCAGAGAGCATTTGTTTTACTAAAATGTGTTCCCCCTGATATGATATTTTTAAGTGGCATCTGGTGTTCACAGTCACCTCCACAGAATATTCTGGAGCTTATGGTGGGCTTTCTTCACCTTCAGAACAATGTCCTATGAAGTGTGTGGATCTCTAGATACTAGTGTCCTAAGGGCCCATAGTGAACCACAAGGAAGTATGTGTGTGACATGCTAGGCTCACATTGCAGGACTTTGAGAAGGGACTTATGTATAGGGTATGTGTCAGGTGTATTTTGTGATAGGAACCTGCAGAGTGAGCATGCTGAAAGTCTAGCCTTTTCTCGCCATGTGCTGTTTGGAAGAAGGAATGGCAAGAGTCCTTATGACTGCAGGGTCTAGGCTTTAGAGTCACAGGAGTGAAGTTTCACAGGAAGAACTGTATTGCAGACTTCCAAGGCAACGGTTTCTTCACACACACACACACACACACACACACACACACACACACACACACACACAATCAAAGGCATCCTGCATAGTAGTAGAGGAAGCAGAGCAGAGAGAGGTCCTCTCAAAGCTATCCTTTATAAAGTGTATGTTCAGCAGTCACAGTTTGGTAGGTTAAACTTGGCATTTTACCATGATAAGTAATGTGTTTGCAATTAGCTCTGTTAGCCGCCAGCCGTACAAGATCTGGGCTAATGCTGATTCTCTGTGCTTTCCAGTTCTTCCCACAGAGGTCTCATTCTGCCGGTGCTGCCTGTGTGACCCCACATGGCACCATTCTCCACCAGACCCTGGACTTTGATGAGTTCATTGCCCCCCTCCCACCTCCACCCTACTACCCTCCAGAATATACCTGCACACCCACAGCGGAGGCGCACAGGTCAGTCTTCCTCTCGTCGTCGTCCTGTGTCCCCTGCTGCATGAGAAGCCACACACAGGAAGTATCTTTGGGAGGAAGAAGTGGTAATGGTGTGTGTGTGTGTGTGTGTGTGTGTGTGTGTGTGTGTGTGTGTGGAGTGGAGTGGAGTAAGGCTGGAACAGAGACATGTGCCTCTCATGGATAGGAAATGAGGGCTCTTATTCTTTTCTTACTTTTGTTCTTTGGAGTTTTGGAGGTAGTGACGAGTTCATCGTGTTCTATTTTTATTTTGTTGTTGACAGGGCCTCATTGTACAGCCCAGGGTGGCTTTGACTCTCTATATAGCCCCAAATGGCCTCATACTCATAATTTTTCCTGTCTCAGTGTCCCACATGCTAGAATTACAGTCAAGAACAAGGCATGTCTTGAATAGAAGATTTCTTTTAGTGTCTTAACAGTATCACCTAAAATGACACCACAGACCACTAACGAACTCTGCTGTATTCCAACATGTGTGAAGTTGAGTGACAGTCTTCATGGCACGTGGCACATTAATTTTAGATATTTCATCAGCTTTATCATTGTTTTAATTATGCTGGACAGAGCCTAAGTGTTTGATGAAATATGGGCACCTTTCAGAAGAAAGAACAAAGTTAAACCTGCCCAGTGACTCAGGCTTTAATTTTTCAACATGACAAGTGTTAGACACTTTTGGAGAAATGTCAGACACCAGGCTCTGTCCTCAGGGGATGACCCTGTGATGGTGTTCTGTTTTCCAGAGGCCTCCACCTAGACTTCACTCCTTCTCCGTTCAGCACTCTATATGATGTTGCCATCAACAGCCCTGGCATGCTGTACCCTGCTGAGCTGCCCCCACCATATGAGGCTGTAGTGGGTCACACTCCTGCCAGTCAGGTGAGTGAGGCTTGGGCCCTGATAAGACAAGACCAGCTCCCTATTGGTGCACACCCTACTTCCTGGCCCATCCTCAGAAGGCTCCCTGACAGTGTTGACTGTGTCACTGACACCAGTGACTACCTTGTGATGAAGCCTCTTCACGAACTGTAACAGTGTGGGAGCCTTGCATAAACTGCAGGATGCTGATTCCAGCCTGGGTACATCAATATGTGGATTTGCCTTTTGGTTACTCAACTTAATTCCTGTGTCTGTGTCCCATGCTCCCCGGGTGTCTGATGACAATGTAGAAGGAACTGGGATAACTTCTGACCCATGGCTAGAGAAGGGGGAGCTGGGTTTGTGGACTAAGGACTCCCAGGACCAAGGGATGTTTTAGCCATTGCTGCAGACATGATCTGATAGAGCTATAAGAGGCCAGGCAGCCCCAGGCCAGGGATGTGCCTCAACTGCCAGGTGGGACCTTCTCTGGGCTGGGTGTGCCAGGGAATGCTATTGTTATTGGTACTCACTTTGAGAATGGGAGTAGACTGATGTGGCAAGGTTTGTGGTGAAGATGATAACATACTGGATCCTGGAGACAAATGTGGTACCTGGCCTAAGCGGGAGGCATCAACAAAGCCACATGGCAGGACCCAGAGGAGAGCAAACAGCAAAGCCCTCCATGGATGGCAGACACCAGGAAGTCAAGATGCGAATGAGCAGCTTCATCCTGGGAAGCAGGGACCTAGAAGCCATGTCTGCAGTAGTATGTAACTTCATTGCTGCCTTGGGCAGGAGGTGCTGCCATTTCCTACTCCTCAGCAAGCCTGCTTACTGCATAATAGCAATAGACTTCGACTTTTCTGCTAGGGAGCCACTTCTTGGCTTCCCTTTGTGAGGTGCTACTCATATTTTCATAAGAGAGGGCTGGGTGAACGGATCCTGTCCCTGTGGACAGTGTCAAGGCTGGGGCACTGCCCTGTCAGAAGCTTTGCTTCCCAAGAAGACTCTTTTCAGGATCTCCATGCTGGCCTTGCAAGGCCCCTCAGTACAGGTGTGGGCAGTCACTGCAGGCTCTGAGTTTGATATTTAGTGCCCCTACCCCACAATGTATACCAGAAGGATATTGATTTATGTTTCATCACCAATTTTTTCTTTCCCTGAACTTAATATATTTCAGGCTAATATATGGCTCTGAGATCAATATGACACTGTTTTCCCAAGGCACTGGAAAAATTCTATCTTCCGTGATTTCTCTCAGAGAACTCGGGTAAAGAGGCCTGAAGGTCAAAGCTTGTCATGTTACTTTATGTTAGCTCAGAAACCTGCCACCTGCAGGTACTGGCACAAACTCAATCCTCTATCTGCTATGGAGCTGGCCAGGTACATGTACAACATGTCCTGTGGCCCCTCTCCAGGCCACTTGTGTAGACAGGGACACATCTGGTGATTAAGGACCTGCAGCTCCCAAGACAGTTTTCTCTGATACTCAGATGTCAGGGCACTTTTCAATTCCACAGACATCTCTGGGAGTCCAGAAGTGAGTGAAACCCATTACCATCCACAGAGGGAAGGCTGCACCAGCCACCTGCCCCCTCCTCCAGGGTGGTCCATCTCCCTGGACCAGACATCAAGGCTGCCTCCTTCCTAGTATGAGCATTTTCCCTGGGTGAGGGGAGCAGTTAATTACTTGCCCCTGCACAACAAAGGGTGTATAAATTGCCTATCAGCACTGGTTAGAGTAGCACAAACCAGACAGAAGGGACATGAGTGAAATGGCAACACGCAGGCAATAGGGGAGTAATGGCAGCCATTAGGAAGATTTTTTTTTTTTTTTTTTTTTTTTTGCCACAGGGTCAGTCTATGTTGTCCAGGGTGGCCCCAAACTCCAAGTCTCAACAGCTTTTCTCTCGAGCCTCTAGAATATCTGCAATGCCAGATGTGTACCTGAGAGGATGTTTTTAGTCCTTTAGTGGAGGATGCCCATCCAGACTTATCCCCTTCCTTGATCAGCACATACTCTCTTCTGGGTTAGGTATGGTTGACATTCTTTCCAACAGCTTTCCACTGCCTCATGGAGTTAACAATCCATGTGATGATAAGACAGGGACAGTTCACCTTCCCTGGAACTTTAGGGAGAGCATTGTACCTGGCCATCTGGGTAGTGTTATGGCATGTGGAAAACCAGGAAGGTGGCCCAGGTGGGGAGTGCAGCACGGGGGCCAGGGAGCTGCTGTAGTGCTCCAGGTCAGCTTTTCTGACCTTGCAGGTCCACCTGTGGAAGTGCCTTTGATAAATTCAATGTCTAGATTGACTCGGCCGGAAGTACTTGACTAGGTAGCAGTACAGCTAGGAAAGGAAGTCTAATATGATACTATAAGTTATGAGAAAGGAGATGGGCAGGCATGGTATCACCATCTGTGGGTCTAATAAATTATATGTTTAAAGGAAATGACCCCTACATTTAAAAACTGGTGAATGAAGTGTTTCAAAGAGGACCTTGAGTATCATTTTCCATGACAGCTGGTAATTGCCCCCAAACAGTGGCTCTTCATGCATTTGGTACTAGATGGGTGACCTCATCCGGGAGTGAGAAACACATCACAGAAATGGGGCAGAATTCCTGTGCAGGGTTTCCCACAGAGCCAGCCTGCCTAAATTCCAGTTGATCCATCAGTTTACAGGGACTGGTCCATATAGATCTCAGAACTAGCAAGTTCTGAGCAAGGGCCTGAAGGCCCTTCCCTAGTTTGTTTCTCCTTTGCTTTGATAAAACATCCTGATCAGGCCAGCTTTATTTGGCATACAGTTCCAGACAGTTAAGACTTCATCGTGATAGGGGAACGTCAGACATAGCAGCTGAAGTAGCATGCTGAGAGCTCACATTGAACTGCAAGCATAAATCAGAGACAAACAGTCGGCGATAGAAACAGAGAGACCAACAGAAAGAACTAGAAGTAGCATGATGTTTAGTTTCCAAATTCCACCCCCAGTGACATACTTCCTCCAGCAAAGTCACACCTCTTAAACTTCAAACAGTGCCACCAACTGGGACCAAGTGTTCATACATCCAAGACTAGGGCAGGCATTTCTCACTTAAAACCCCCACAGTCTCACATGACTTGGGGTGTCCTGGGGCAAGTGAGGCTTGTCTATCACAGACCTCACACTCTTCATCCTTCCAGGATCCCTGTTTATGAGTCTTCGTGGCTGAACTCCAATGTCAATTAAGAATCCATGCCACAGTTGCCCTTCCCTTTTTCTGTCTAGGTAGTGCTACTGAACCAAACGGCCATTTCCCCCACAGCTTTGTGCAGCAAGGTGGCCTCTGCCATCAGGTTCAAATTAAAGCCCTAACACTCTACTCAGAAGTGACATATGCACTCCTGGGAGCCATCTCTTTCCCAAGCCACATTTCCTGGTGCGTGAATACGGGAGCCAGAGGGAAGAGAGTGGTACCCTGCAGAATATGAAGCAAATCCAATTTCCTCTTGACCTTGTCCCTTTGTGGATTCTATTTCTCTTGCTTTATTTATATTTCTTTATTGCCAGCACTGTCTTTCTCAGGCAGCAGGTTTCTAAGTTTCCTCTCTGCCTCTCATATTCATACATGCATACATACATACATACATACATACATACATACATACATACATGGGGAGGGGTTAGATATTGGGGAGTTCTGGAACGAAACAGCCTTTTAGGCAGTTTCTTTTTGTTACTTAGTGGGGGATTCTTGGCAGACATGTTCAAATTAGTTATGGGCATGTAGTGAGTACAGTAAGGGAGAAAGGTGTGTGTAGATGCAATGGTGGCATGAATTCTCTCTCCCTCCATTCCCTCCCCAGAAGTCCTGGAGGGCTTGGGGAGGAAAATAGCATGTGCACCGTTGCTCCAAAGCCTATCAGTGGGTGAAAGGCAGCATGGAGGCTGCTCTCCCTGGCGTTAGATTGATTTCCAGTTCTCCTCAGGCACCCCACTTCCCCACCACCACAACAGGGAGCAGCTCACACCCTGTGTGTTGGTGCCACAGCTGAAGCCACCCTGCCCTAACTCCATCACAGTTTGCAGAGCCAAGATGAGGGATATCAGCTATCTGATTGAAGTGGCAGGCAGCACGGGAGGCAGGAATGCAATTACCTGAGCTGGAATTGGACCAAGCTGCAGGGGCTTGCCTCGCCTTCTCCTGTCTCCTCTTTAGCTCATTACTTGCCAGTATGTCCCCAAAGCAATTCTGAAATAACACAAGAAGTCAGATATTGTTTCCTGAGCTGGGGAAGGGGTGGGGCTTATGGACAGGGTGTGCCATGTCTCAAGCCCTGTGCTAGATGCCTAAAGCATTATGCCTGTTGGCGAAGAAACTGAAGCACACACAGCCCGAGAAGGGTAAGATGGGGCAGGAGGCCAGGGGGCTCAATCTTCTGTGTCCTGTTCCCTGAGGCATCTCTAGCCCAGAGTCACTTCATGTACTGGCCAGTTTTGTATGTTGACTTGACACAAGCTAGAGTCATCAGAGAGAAAGGAGCCTCAGTTGAGGAAATGCCTCCATGAGATCCAGTGGTAAGGCATTTTCTCAGTTAATGATCAATGGAGAAAGACCCAGCCCATTGTGAGCAGTGCCATCCCTGGGCTTGTGGTCCTGGGTTCTATAAGAAAAGCAGGCTGATCAAGCCAGAGAGAGCAAGCTCCCCTCCATGGTCTCTGCATCATCTCCTGCCTCCAGGTTCCTGTCCTGAGTTCCTGCCCTGATTTCCTTCAGTGATGAACAGTGATGTGGAAGTGTGAGCCAAATAAACCCTTTCTTCCCCAATTTGCTTTTTGGTTATGGTGTTTTGTCATAGCAACAGAAACCCTGACTAAGACAGTCCAAGAGGGGAATAGCAGAAACTGCCTGACCTGAACTGGGTGGCTCTTAATAGTATGTCATTGTGGTCACACTGTGGATTGGCACTCCACCCTTTATGCACCTGGACCTTGACCCAAAGCTCACATAAGAGAACAGCCTAGAGAGTTCCTCTTCATTCTTTCTGCAAGGGAAAAAAGGGAAGAAAAGGTGTAAGCAAGTCAAGGACAGGCTGTGAGTTCACTGGGGATGCACCCTTTCATCCAGTGCTCATTCCATGCCCTAGCCATGCCAGGGTGAAGCATGCCAGGTCTCAGGACCATTTGTCATATGGCTTATTCTTCCCGGAATAAGAAAAAAAGAGTCAGAGAAGGCAGTTGGGGGTGGGAACTGTCCTATGTCCCACTGTACATAGGGTAAGGGATCCTTTGTGACCTTTTGTCTTAGTAAGGTTTCTGTTGCTGTGCTAAAACACCATGACCAAAAGCAAGCTGGGGAAGAAAGGGTTTATTTGGCTTACACTTCAATATTGCTGTTCATCATTAAAGGAAGTCAGGGCAGAAACTGGAGGCAGGGCTGATGCAAAGGCCATGGAGGGGTGCTGCTTATTGCCTTACTCCTCCTGACTTGCTCAGCCTGCTTTCTTGAAGAACCCAGGACCACCAGCCCAGGGTTGGGACCTCCCCCATCAATCACTAATTAAGAAAGGACTCTACAGGCTTGCCTCCAATCTTACGGAGGTATTTTCTCAAAGTGCCCTTCTCTCAGATGACTCTAGGCTGTGTCAAGTTGACATTAATTATGCAGCACACTTGTCTCGGTTCCATACAGTGCCCTAATGGAAGGTGAGTAGACTCAGTGTATGCCACTTCCCTGGAAGATACTCTTGAGTGCAGAAAGCCAGAGAAATGGGCTTTGATCTTTCCAACACTGACTTGAACTCTCGATTCTCACACATATCCCACCTCATAAATTTAGGTGAGAAGAAAATAATGTATGTATATTCTCCCTAGGTGAGTCTTAAAGCCAACCTGCACAGTTATTCCTCAGGGTATTTGTTCCAGGATGCCCCCTATACCAAAACCCATACATGTCCAAGTCCCTTATGTAAAATAGTGTTGTTTGCACAGAACTTACACACATCCTCTCCCATACTTTAAGCCTAATAGGATGCATCCACATGAACTCAGCAGAGTCTATGGTATAGTCAAAAAATGACTGTCAGCAGTTTCCCATCCCAAGGATACTCCCAGATGCTGTCTCTGACCAGGAAGCAAGAGAGAGCTCTGGGGTCCCTGACCCCAGACCTAGTTCTCCCAGGTCATGTCCACACCTGTCCCCACACCAATGGGCATGGTCAGTGCAACAGATGCAGGCAATGTGAATATCTCACTACACTATGGTACATGGAGATTCTTGTTTCAACCTTTGGAATTTTCTGGGAAGTTTGGTCTGATTACTTGGAATCGGTGTTGATTGAAAGGGAAATCTGAGGGCTCAGGGCACTGGTGGTGTTACTGGAGGCTGCCTGGGTGGGTGTTGTCCTGAGCAAGGGTGATGCTGTGTGTTCTTTGTTACAGGTTCCAAGTGTTGATCACCAGGTGGCTGACTCCAGTTCTGAGGACCCAAACACTGCTGCTGGCTTCAGCACACCAGGTAATCAATCAGACCTCTCTCAGTTTGAAGCACTGCTTGTGTGTGTTCCAAGGATGTCTCTTTTCTCCTGTTTCCTTCTCTCCCCCTCTTCCTACTCCCTCTGTCTATAGCAGGTGCCTTAGCCACAGCCTTCCTCCCTAATCTGGATCCAATAAGTTGTGTCCCTGGGAGAGTTCACATTTCCTCTAGGATATTTTGTCGACTCTTTCTTTGGTGTTCTGACTCCTTCACTTGAGGACATGAATTTCAACTTGAGGCTCACTCTTTCAGGAACGAAGAAGAATATTTAGCCCATGCAGCTTTGTTGACTGCAACACAATTCTTCCTCTTGGGTTGGTTCTACGCCCTGTTAGTAGCTCTCCTAGGCAGGTATCAGTAATATGTTGGGTTCTCCAAGGCAATCCAGTATTCAACTTCAGAGCTTCATGCAGTGACCTCTCTAGGGCTCCATTCAGGGACACCCCCTGACACATGCCTGGCCACAGTGGCTTTCCTTAGGCACAGAAGCAAACTACTCCAGTTAACACAGACACAAAAGTTTTCAAATGCACACTTGTTTGAATGGATGGGTACAGAACTCATGCATACAGAGGGTAAACCGCGTGCCTTGGGATTTCATCCTCTTCACTCAGGAACAGTATTGCATTTGGGATTGCCAGGCCCCTGTGATCATTGTTATGAGTGTGATACAGATGTAGTTCACTCTCATGTTGATCTTTTCCCTTTTACCATTGCTGAACTTGCGTTTTAGTTTTACAATTCTTCATAGATTCTAGTTGGTTTTAAACTATTATGAATAATAATGTAGTGATGAGGTTTGAACATTGGCAAGACCACAGGGGAGCTACAACCCAGATTTTTTGGCTGGCATCTTATTAACCAGCCTGTCATTTTAGGGCTCTTTATCTAGAAGTCATGTTTATATTGTTTGTTGGCGTAATCTCCACTTCTGGGAGTGCCTTTGGATCTAACATAAGGAAAGTAACTCTAAAAGTGAAGGTGTTTACATTCTTCCTAATAGTGAAAACCTGGGAGAACATTGAAGTCCATTAATGAGAGTCATAAAAAAAATATGTGACACATGCTACATACATTAATTAAGAAAACTACGGGTGGGTTTTTTAGATGAAAAATTGGAAGTCCACTATGACTGCAACTGTCATAAAAACAGGCGCACAGCATTACACTGGTGACAGCAAGAAAAAACAGTCCCCAGTCTTGGGCTTGGAGCTCTTTCAGGCACCTACTGAATTTCTTGATTCTAGTAATTATATATTTTCAGAGTGAAGTCACACTTGCCTATCCATGACTTGATTGTGTTCGCACTGACAGTAAGAAAATTGGATCGGGAAGATTTAGGAGGCATGGATCAAAGCTAATTAAAATATGATTTTCGATGTTAGGCTAGAGAGATGGCTCAGCAGTTAAGGGCACATGCTGCTCCTGTAGATAATCCAGGTTCAGTTCCCAGTATCTACATTAGGCAGATCACAACTCCAGAGCCAGAGGGATCTGATGCCTCTGGTCTCTGCAGGTACCTGCACTCAAAGGCACAGCCCCCTTTACCCACCCTAGACTTAAATTGTTTCCAAAAAGGTGACATAAATATATACTTAAATATCCTCCAAAAGGTTAAACACACACACACACACACACACACACACACACACACACACACACAGGAGCAGTACTAGTACTTGATGCTAGTTTGTGTATGTGTGTATGTATATATATATATATATATATATATATATATATACATACATATATATATATATATGCATATGTGTATTTATTTGCATTTGATGCAGGGCCTTGCATATTCTAGGCAAGCATTCTACAATTACCTACATCCTCAGTGCTCGCTTTACTTCTTATTTCAAGACAGGTTTTCACTAAGTTGCCTAGGATGGGCTGGAAAAAATACTCTCTAAATAGTCCAGACAGGCCTTGAACATGGTCTTCCTGCCTCAAGCCTCTTGTGTAGCAAGGATGATAAGCCTACACCACACAGGTTAGCTTACCCAAGACAATCTTGGTATACCACTGTGTAGTTCCCTGGGGAATAACTAACAGAGGTTGTCTGGGTTTGCTAAATGCCATTTCTGTCTTTGAAGTTTTCTGATATGATCAAATACACACACACACACACACACACACACACACATCTCTGAGCAGTTGTCAAATTGTGTCCCATAATAAAACTCCTGGGAACAATTGCTGAGTCCAAGGGAGCATGTATTTTAAGTGTTAATAGAGCAGCCAAACTGCAGTATAGAAAAGTCACACCAGCAAGTGAGAAGCAGAGAGCCATCACCCCTGATGGCTTCTCCCATCCTCCAAGGGGATAACGTTTTCACAGGCTTTTCATGGGCTTGTTGTTTGTGTGTGTATTTGGATTTGATTCACTTCCTTTGTTTGAAGACTCTTCTTTTTTAGATGGTACTTTGGGAGTAGATTCATAAGAAAAAGTGCTTGTAAATCAAGTCACGAGGCCTCGCAAGACCTTCCTATTCATGGCGGGGACCTGTCTCTTCTCTGCTTCCCTTCTACTTTGGTGGTACCATGTGTGTTCATTATGCAAGGACAAATCTTAAAAAGAAAATGATTTATTCTTCTCTCATATAATACATCCCAATTGCAACTTCCCCTCCCTCTATCCTTCCCAGCCCCCCTCCCTTTCTTCTAGTTCTGCCTCCCCTCCCCTGTCTCCTTCTGGAAAAGAACAGACCTCCCAGGGACATCAACCTCAGAAGGCACAAAGGATACAATAAGACTAAGCACAGACTCTGGCATCAAGGCTGGGTAGGGCAATCCAATAGGAGGAAAAGGGTCCCAAGAGCAGACGAGAGTCAGAGACTGCCCTGCTCCCACTGTCAGGTGTCCCCTCAAAACACCAGACAACGAGCGTAACATGTAAGTAGAGGACCTAGTGCACACCCATTTGGGACCCACAATTTCCATCTCTGTGAGCCCCCATCAGCCCTGCTTAGTTGATTCTGCAGTCCAACGCACACAACTTTTTATTGTCAGTTTTCTTTCTACCCTTTACTATCCTACCCAGGAAGCTTCTGCTCCCAGCTGCAGGTCTACTGTTATGGATTTTTTCTTCTAATAATTTTATACCCTCAAAATAGAAGGGTTAATCTTCCTGAAGATTGGGGTGTTTGCTTGCATATTTATGTCTTCAAAATAGACCACTAATTGTCACCAACTGTTTGGGGGGGGTAGCAGTGGTTAGGCAAGAATGCTTTAGAATCTTCCATGGGCTGCTTCGGAAATAGGCAGTGAGTACCACGTGGCTCCAAAGCCCTGGCCTGGGGCAAGCTCAGGGATGCTGGGAAGCATGGGAAGAGAAGGAAGGAGCAAAGCTTCCCAGCACTGATGGAATTCTGCCTGCTGTGATGCAGCAAGTGTACCTCAGGCAGGCTATCACTTGCAGTGTCAGCCCCTGAGTGGAGCCAGTGGGCTGTTGGTAATTCCAGGAGAGTGAAGGATGCATCTACCCACTGGGGTTTAATGTTCACCGGTGGAATGGCCTCTGGTGCATATCATAGGCTTCTGGGCTTTGAGTGGGAAAGAAGCATAGACATGGCCTGCTTCGCTGGTCCATAGGTGTGGTGCTCACCAAAGTCCAGCAGAGTCCTGAGTGGCCAGGCTCCACCAGATCCTGCCCCCACTTCTCTGTGTGCCAAATCCATGCCCATCACTAAGCTATACTCATACCTCCAACTCTGGTTTATTTCTGCTTGTTCCCGGGTTAGGTTGATGCTGCTACCCAGGGCCTACTCTGGGAACTAAGGCAAGCATCACATGGGCTATGTTTGACCCACATATCTGACCTAGGGACTGCACGCCAGGTACTGGGTTGCACTTCCTGCCTGTCCTGGTGTCCTTCAGAGTCCATGTTCTTTCTTGTGCGAGTCCTGAGCAACAAGTGATAAAAGCAGTAGAGTGCTGACTTTGGTCTCTCTGGGAGGGGGCGGGGCCTGAGCTCCCCATCCTCTTCCTGGAGTAATTCCTGGGAGGTTGTCTACTTCCCCTGGGCTTTTTATCTGTGCAGCAGTACTTGGTGACCTGCCTCAGGCTTGGTCTGATTCTAACTGTGGAATTGAATAGGTTGGGTTTGAAGGGCAGGTGGCTGGTTGATTGTGCATCCTGATGCCTTTGTAGCCACTTACTGTAATATTGTGTCCATTTTCTTGTAGTGCCTGTCAGTAGCACAAGTCTCCCAACATCAGAGGGTGCTACCTCACTGGGTCCAAGCCACCCATCCCCTGATGGCACTTTAGACACCCCGACACCTCTCCTATCTACTCCAGTCCCTCACCACATGTCTCCAGAAGCAACAAGCTTGAGCACACAGGCGCAACCAAGCCTAGGGCGTGTGGCCCGTTCAGCCAGTGACCCCACCTCCTGCACATCCAGTGAAGCAGGTATGGCTCACTTATATTTTGGGGGTTATACCCAACTTGTAGGGCAAGTGACCTCTGACAGTTGAGGCCCAGCCTTGGATCCCTGCACATTTGAGGGCCCCAAGTTGGGGTGAAGGGGTGGGTAGCCTTAGGCCCCTGCTGTGTTCTCAGAGAGGCATCATTCGGGCAAGGAGGGAAGGATTCAAGAATTTAGGGTAATGAGATCCCTTTAGGTGGCCTGCAGCTCTGATATGAGCATGATCATTGAACTACATGCATGTTCTGAGGTCCAGGTCAGAGTAGGTGACCACAGGTAAAGACTGTGTAGGTGGTGTGTCCTCTGCCCTGAGTGTGTTCAGGGAGTGTTTTAGTTAGGGTATCTATTGCTGTGAAGAGACACCATGACCACAGCAACTCTTATAAAGGAAAAAGAATTCATTGGAGCTGGCTGACAGTTTCAGAGGTTTAGTCCATTATCATAATGGTGGAAAGTATGGCAGTGGGCAGGCAGACATGGTGCTGGAGAAGGAGCTGAGATTGCTACATCTTGATACACAGGCAGCAGAAGGAGACTGTGTACCATACTGAGCATAGCTTGAGCATATAAGACCTCAAAGCCTGGCCCCACACACACACAGTGACACACTTCCTTCAACAAGACCACACCTTTTAAAGTGCCACTCCCTATGGGGCAAGCATTCAAACACAGGAGTCTCTGGAGGTCATTCCTATCCAAACCACCGCAGGCAGCACTTAACTGTGTCCTAAGCCACCATTAGCTGTTTTTATTCCAAGTAGGAACTATGCAGTACAACAGGATCCTGTGGCCAGCTGCCCAGGATGCATATGCCATAACAGCTTCCTTGGGAGTCTTGCTTGTGTGCCTGAGGCTGGAGAACAGACACCTGAACCTTGATGTTAATAGAATAACTTCTGCCAGTCAAGGACTTGCTAGTAGCCTTTGACTCTGCATTACAGCTGGGACATTCTCTGATGTGGATTTGAAAGAACTCTACAGCATCCTCACTTCCTTGGCCTTGTGCAGCTGAACACCAAGCAGCCTAGGGTCTGGCCATGCCAAGGAAGATCAGCCTTTGGAAGGAACCAAAACGAGAGTGACGGAAGCCAAGCCAGATCTGGGAGCATCTTCCTGGTAGAAACATCAGCTTTTGCACCTGTAGATTTTGGGTGCTACACTCCCACTCCCCTTGCAACTCCATGGAGAAAGGTCAACCCAAACCTGGAATGCTCTCTTTGATTCTTTACTTGGAGCCACAGGACATCCCTTCCTTCCACCCCTGAGGGCAGCACATGGAATTCTGTGTCCACTCCTCCCTCACAGATTTTCAAGAGAGGCTCACAGATGGTTGGAGGGTATCAGGTCCCTTCTCTAGCCTTCTGCTAGCTTTCTTTGGCCTGTCCCTCTTGATGGAATCCATGGTCTGTGACAAACAGCTGCAAGGATAGGACAAGGGAGAGGTGACCACCTTCCCTCCCTGAGCTCCACATAGCCGCTTCAGCGTCCTCTTGGCCAGATGAGACTGCCATGTTCCACATGTTAGAAGCATGTGCCTTCTTCATACCTGGAGAGGCTCGGGATTGGAGGTTATTCCCAGGCACCTGCTGGGCTCCTGTGGGACCTAGGCCTGGAGAAGTGCAAGGTGACCTTCTTTTATCTGCAGTCTGTTTGTCTGCCATCTAACACTGCTCGGCTCTAGGCGGCTGGTGAATTTTACCAGCCCCTTCCAGTGGGGACTGAATGTTCTTCTGGTTGAGATGCAGCCTGAACCCTGAGCTGCTCTGTCCTGGGCTGCTCTGGAGAGAAGTGAGGCACTCCTTAAATATTTTGACATCCACTCACTGTAAAGTAGGGGTGTGGGGTCAGGACTAGTGGCCCTTTGCTGTCTCTGCATTCAGCTGCTCCAGCTGTTGCCCTAGAATGTGAGTTCCTGGCTCAAGGTAATCATATCAAAGCCAGTAACTAACAGCGTGCATATGCTTATTTATTTACATTTAGTTTTGTTTTGTTTTGAGACAGCATCTCATTAGATAGACCAGACTGACCTCAAGTTCCTGCCTCAGCCCCAGAGCGCCGAGACTGGGCCCACTGCCACCAGGCTTTGCCTTATTTTGCTTTGCTGTTTTCCAGGGGGTCATTGGCTACCTAAGAAGTTTACACATCATCCTATATTTCATTCTAAGCTTGTCTGCTACTACCCACTAGGACTCAGAACAGACTACCCAGAATATGTCTATTTTGGGTGATATGTTAGGCAAGCTTGTTTTCAATGTGGTCCTTGGTCAGTGGACCATATTCACTACCCAAAGGTACCTAGTTCTCGGAGGTGCTGCCTAAGCAGTGTTTGTCCTAATTTTGAGGCAGAATGCTGGTTTGACATCTGATGGGAGACAGTCTTTCCTCCAGGCCCAGCATAGAAGACACTGAGGGAAGACCCTAGATAGAGGCTGCTGTCTACATCTGATATAGGACAGGAATCTCCCTGCCTTCTGGCCACCTCAGCTCTCATCTTAGACTGTCTGGATGGCTCCCAAGCTGCTCCAACAAGCCACCAGACCACGAAGGACAGAGGTCATGGAGCTGCAGAAGTCTGAGGAGAGCTCAGGAAACCCTCACCAGCCCTTCTCTTGGGACCACTTCACTCCTCACCTCAATCCGTAGAGGTTAACACCAGCTTCACCCCAGGCTGACAGGAAGCTGGGTCACGGGTCACACTTTTTTTTTTTTTTTCTAGAACTTTGGTTTCATTGGGTTCACAATTGTTTTCAAATCCCCTCTTTCACTTTGATTTTTTTTAGTCTCCACATCACGCCCAGCCATGGCTACCTGTCAGCGCCAGCTCTCACCTGCTGGCAACCCAGATACCTGGAAAATGGACCAAGGGACCAAGCCAGAGACCTTACAGACCGTCTCCAAAGAGAGGCCACACTCCCTAGTGGAGAGTAAGGCCTACAGGGACACCACGGTTTTGGTGGCTAAGTTCTTGGAACACTCACACTGCACTCTCCCTTCAGAGGCGCGACATGTGGTGGGCACCATCCGCTCAACGGTCACTTCAGAGGAGCCCAGGGTGGAGGAGGCCACCTTTGGTGCTGGCGGCCTGGACCAGCTATGAAGCAGCTACAGACCTGGATGTGGACACTGATGGGCCCAGTATCTGCAAGGTCCAGTCCTGCATGACGCCACTATGCTTGACAGAGAGAGGCCTTTGGCTTGCTGGGCAGAGAACATCCAGAATACCCAGACAGAGCTCTCTGGTGGCCTGGGCAGGGAACTGTTATACCTCCCCCCATCAGTTGTCTTGCCAGGACTGTTTGACCCCTGTCCCACTAACTCAGACATGTTTTTCTCCTGCCCTTAGCAGGTTCTGGTTGCTTCATGGGTATAGCACCTTGAACTGAGAGAAACACCTATCCAGGGACGGTGACACTTGAGGAACATAAGGACACTGCATCTGTTCCAAGTCAAGGCCTTTAACGCAAGGTTCTCTTCTGGGCCCAGTTGAGTTCAATGTTAAGTGAGTAGTGGGTAGCAGCAACAATGGAGCCATTCCCCATGTGGCTGGTATCACTCTGCAATGAAGCCTTTATAAAATTCAGACCCCTTACTTCCTTTCAAAGGAAACGGGCAATGTCAGCACAGCCTGAGCCCACCTTTTTGCTCACTGAGTTATCATGAAAAAAAAAAAATCCACAATGAGTATTCTTCCTAGCTACTCTTGGAAAGCAAACAGGTGACACAAAGGGCTTGAAATATCTGCCTCCTCGTGTCCTGGGCTTCCCCACTATAACTCTGTCTGTGGGCTGTTACCCCCACGTCCTCTCCTGGGCCCCTCCCCCTTGGTCTCCCACCTTTTCACCACAGAAAATAATTGTCTCTTGTGTCTTAACAATATGCTGCTGTCCCATCCCTTTGAGGGCTTGGCCCCGGGTCTGACCTCACCCAACTGATCTGAGTAGGACACAGTCTGCGCTAAGAAGCATTTTTCTCTGCTGTGTGCGCACCTCTGGCTAAGGTAATGCCTTTCATGATCCAGACTTATCCCTGTTCAACTCAGGTGGCAATAGGCACACCTATGTTGAGGGATGCAAATATTCAGCACTTATTTCTGGGAGAATGCCAGGAGTAAATGTGTAGGAGCAAGGCAAAACTAACTTGGACACAACCAGGGTGGCTTTGAGCAAAATAAATGCCCCCCCCCTAGACCTTCTTAGCTGTTCAGACCTCATTTTCTCAAAAGGTCAACAGCAACCACTGTTCAGCAATGAACTGGGAGAAACACTGCCTGCAAAAACTTCTTGCAAAAATGGAAACACCCAATGCTGGTTCATCCAAACCAGCAGCTCTAAGCTCGTGAGCTCACTGCACCCCAACTGGTCTGTGGGAAGTGCCAGGGTGGACCAGAGCGTGACCACCATTGTTCAGTGTCCAGCTGGTAGGCTTAAACAACTCTTCTGTTTTACTCGTCCTTGCCTGCCCTCCAGCCTCTGTGCCCCTGTTCCAGCCCCCAAGTTCCCTGTAGCCAATATGCTGAGGACCTTCATATGTTTGGAGGCTGTGGGAAACATATGGCTTGGGAAACACCCAGTAGTGGTCAGTTCTTCATGGTCTGATGACTTTACTATTGCCATACATTGTTGCCTTCCTGAGGTTAGGGAGCCGGAAAGCATAAATCAGGCGTTTGATGGCAACCTTGCCTTTTCTGCAGGAGATGTGATAAGAGATGAGTCTTTGAGCACTTTATTCAGACTATAAAATCTGTAATTTTTCTCAAGTGGGGACTTTGTCAAATCCCTTACAGGTAGAATGGCCTCCCCTGAGCCTATCAGCCTGAAAAACTTTCATAGCCTGGGCCTGGGCACATGGCATTTTCGTCATCTCAGAGATGAAGAAGTGAAATGAGGCAGCCACAGGGTATCTCCTGATTGGAGGGTCCATGTAGTAGTGTGACTAAACATTTATGGATCTCAGAACCAGCTGAGATACAGGAGAAGCCAGGGCCCACCCCATCCCAACTGACCCAAGCTCTAGGGTATTTTCATAGTGTAGCCAGGGGGAACAGTTTTTGGACACAGCGCGGGACTCTTTGGTGTTCGTGCTGTCACTTTGCAGCAGGCCCTGCCTATCTGTCACATGGCACTCTTGCCTCAACCTGCATCTCCCCTCAGTTTCAGGCTACAACCACCACCTGGGAGCCCTGATTCCCCAGGCAATCTCAAGAAAGTGGTATGCACAAAGCATTCTGGCTAGGTTATGAGATGGCTCCCCTAACAGGTTTATCTCACAGATAAAGAAACCACAGGACTTCATGCTCCTGAGTGGGGGAGGACCCTTGGTTCCTGGGAAAAGGCTGTTAGAATGGAGACAGGTCAGTCTCCAACTTCACAGGGCCCCAGGTGGCCCACATGAGCACTAGGAAGGCGCAGGCTCCAGGCTTCCACAAGTCAGCGGTATTGGTTACAGCCGCTAGATGATGTTCTTGCAATCTGACTTGTCTCTTCTGGGCTCCTTGGCTCTGCCTCAGTGGTGACTTAGTACTAGGAACTCCAGGCGACATGTGGTTTCCCTGAAGCGAAAACTGCCATCCTCCACATTGCTTGTGCATCCTTCCATCTTGGAAACTTTTTCCCTGCTTTTATTTTTCCCCCCTGATATCTGAACTGGGCCCAACAGTGAAGTGATCATTTGGGAAGGGATGCTCTCACTCCAGGCTTGCTAGGTCCTGGGCCCTCAACCAAAAAATAAAAGGTCATCCCTTTTGGGACATCCTTCAAGTGTCTAAGTGTCTGCCTGGGGGCAGGAAGATGCTGATGTGAACACATGGTGGGCATCAACTCTACTTCAAGGAAGGCAGGGGCAGGAGGTTCCATTACAAGGACTAACGGTCTCCTTCTCAGGAGGCCATGATAAAATAAAATGCTTGCAACCAGCCCGGGAACAGAAAGCTCATATCGGATCTTCTCTTTTCCCCTCCCATTGTGCTACTGCAGCTTACAAATGCTGCTGAAGCAGAATTTATAGGGAATTGTTTTTAGGCCACCAGAGAGCTGTTTGTACAACTTGAAAGGTTGTATTTATTTAATGTACCTCAAGGTGTTTTAATAATGATCAGTGTTTTAATAAAAAGTATTTCTGGTCACTGACGTCCACCTGTGACTAAGTGGGTCCTGGAGGGACAGGATTTGGTGGAGGGAGAGGAGCAAGAAGCCATGACAGCTGCCTATCCAAAACTCAGTGCTGGTGCCTGAGGCGAGAACAGCCCCCTGTGCCTACAGATCTAAAGCATGGCTGCCCCTCTGTAGCCCTGACATTCAGGGGTACCTGGGAGTGAAGTCTTATGTTCCAAAGTCTTCCCTTTAAGGTCCTGAACTATGTGTACCATGGGCACATGGCAGATGGCTTGGTGGGTAAAGGGCTTGTGGGACTATCATGAGGACCTAAGAATGAAGGGAGGTGCTCACTGCTGGGGTGTGCAGTCAGGTAGATCCCAGGGGCTGGCCAGCTGGCCAGTCTAGCTGGAATAGCAAGCCCCAGGTTCTGTAAAAGACTGTCTCCAAAGATAAGATTAGGTGTGGCAGAGGAAGACTCCACATGTGCACAGAGGGTCACATGTGCCTGCACACAGGTGAAAACACAGGCACACACCAGACTCATACTGTACCAGGTGGTGACTATCATGCCTTCATATGTCTCAGACTGCATCTTCTCTCTTGAACTGGGTGCATGCTTGTCCAGGACACACAGGGGCATTCCACTGGGAGGGACGGCTGCATACACCAGCTCCTCTAGCTTTACCCCAGGGACTATTCTTTTCATTCTGCAAGAATTGGAGCCACCTACATAGCAGTTCTTGAATCTTGGCACGGGGAAGCATTTTCTTTGCTCTCAGTTCTTCTGTCTTTGGGGAGTGAGTAGACCTTTGTGTTGCATTTCTGATGATGTTTCTTCTTGGTGCACTGTTTGGAGCCAGAGTTCGCAGTGAAAGGCAGTTCCTCACCTGCCCCTGATGACCAGAAGTGACGGGAGCACATGGCTCAGGCCCCTCAGGGGCTTCCTGAAGAAATCATGAGCAATGAAAGCACTCACGACAGAGTGGCATGCTCTGCTGTGGAAGGTCAGAGAGGAGAATCCAGCTTGCCAGGCTCTCCCACTTCAACCTCCTGAGAAAAATCCCATGTTTGCCCCATTCCCTACTCCTGTCAGGCAACAGCCTTCCCTGTGGCCACTGAGCAAGGTGCCGAACAGCACAGATGTTAATATTCTACATGTATGGATCACAGGTGTAGAGAAATGCCAGGGGTGTCCTTTCACCTCTCTCTCTCTCTCTCTCTCTCTCTCTCTCTCTCACACTCACACACACACACACACACACACACTTCTGCTGAGGTTACAGATCTAGAGAACCCTATTTCCATTACTCTTTATTTAGTCATGTGCAGTCTACTACAGTCATATGTTGTCCATGCAGCAGATGAGCGGGACCCTGGAGCTGACCTGGTGACATGACACCATCAGTGACACCTGGTAAGTTTAGTACCTGCCCTCCAACCTCCTGTGTGAGAGCTAAGATTCCAGACCAGGGAGGAGTGACATGACCACAGGGCAGACTCACAGAGCCACCATCCCAACTCTGGAAAGGAGAGGCCAGCAGGGCCTGCTCAGCTGACAAATGAGGCACACAAAGTGCTTTTCTGTCATGACTTCAGGTTTATTAGCGATATGCAGGAAGTCTGCCTAGGGTCAGCTGCATGCAACACACAGGTTACTCCTCCAGTACAGTAATCCTAAAGCTTTAATTACTGTGTAATAAGGCTTCTTAAGTCACAGTGTATTCTTCAAGGCCTGAGCCAAAAAAAGAGACTGCCAGACAAAATGATGTCAGTTAACATCGGTCGCTAATGAGCGGAGCCAGCCACTGCTGCTCCTTGCTCCACACACTAACGCTGCTCTACACTTGATGGCCAAGCACCTCACTTGACAAGTCATTTGCACTCTCCCTTCTGGGAGGATAGAGATGGGGTTTTCTGGTGTGGGCTTGCTTTGTTGGGGACAGTGTGTGTGTGTGTGTGTGTGTGTGTGTGTGTGTGTGTGTGTTTCTATGTATATGTAGGTTTTGTGTTTGTTTGTTTTGTTTTAAACAGGGATGTCTCCCATGCTTTTGCCTGTGTTCCTGGCAGGATGTTGCCCCCCTGTACCCCAATAGGGAGCCCTGTGGTGGAGAAGGAGTCAAAGTGAGGATGTTCAGGGAAATTCACAGGGTCTCACGGGACTCCAAACAGGCTAGAAGAGGAAAAACAGCTGTGGGCACAGGTCATTGAAAAACCTAACCGTCTGAAGAATGGCTTGCCAAGGTCAAAGTCCAAACAGTAATATTTGCTAAATAAATATGGAGTTTTGACATGGTGACCATCGCTTTTTATTTAACTCGGGAGTACCCCCTTGCTGAGTAAATACTTACAATCACAGGTTCCCACACTTGGCCCAAGCCTCATCCTGGGAGCCAGGTTGCCCCTGCTCTTGTGCAGAGGGAGGTAATGCCAGCAGCTGTGGGGCCTTTAGGACTCAGCTGGACCCAAGGTGTCCCAGACAAAGGGTAGAGATGGCTGCAGTTGCATCCCAGAGGGTGCCCTTCACAGCCCTGCATGGGCAGCCACCACATTCACATTCCATAGCCTCAGGGAGGAAAGACACAGCACACCACACAAAGAACTACCCATGAGCACCCTTCATCAGCGGCAATGAGAACGTGGCAGAGGATTGGTTAAGTTTTACAAAGGATTATCCCTCGACTCTCCCTTGGTGAGGGCATCCTTTTTTTCTTTTCTTTTTTGTTTTTTTGTGGCAAAACCCAAAACCAAACCAAAAGTCAAACAAGAAAACTAGGTGATGAGGACAAACCCTTCAGGGGATCCAGAGTTCTGGTTGGGGTCAGGGGTCAGGGGTCAGGGCTCTGTCCTGGCTTCTGGCTCCTCTGGGCCCAGGTGGGTCTGCCTGGGGTCCCTGCTCCACGGCGAGGCTGGTGTACCTATATGTACAGTGGGGTCTCCTGGCCTGTAAGGAGTCTGAACATGGCCGCAGGCATGGTCTTCATGTGGATCTGTAAACAGAAAGGGAAGGCTGAGCTACCTACCACTTCTCAATCAGCAGATGCCCAGTAGCTGGGAGGCTCTTACGGGGACTGAGAGGTAGGTGGGCCCTCTTCCTTTATTTATGCTGTGCATCTCAAGGTGACACCAGAAGAAACATTAGACTTCTGATGGTGGCTAATTTGCCAGCTGGATGCATGCACCCCACCCCAGAGTTGCAAGGAGAACTCTATGCTTCTGTGGGGGAACACATTGACAGTGGATGATGCAAGAGTTCTGGGGCTAAGAAAAGGCCCAAAAGGCAAGCTGTCCCAAGATTCCATTCTCTGAGGATCAAGTAACAAATGGCTGTTAACAGTCCAACTGTCCTTGCTGGCTCTCCATAGGCTGGTGTACAACCAGCTAACCATGGGATCGCTTCCGGGGACAGTGGGATGCAGGAAGACACTGAGCCCCTGAAAGGAAATAGTAGGTGGGCTTCATTTTGTCATCTTCCACTCCTCTCAACAGGGCTGAGCCATGGTCCTGGGCTCTGGTCATACATACTGTGTTCAGGTAGAAGCTGCCAGGGTCTCAGCTGCCCGCAGGTAACATTCTGCCCCAGGCCCTGGCTCTACTCTGCCCAGCTCACACAGGTAAAAATCTGGAGATGTTTGCTGTGTTCCTGTTTTAGCTCTGCCACATCCCAGGATGTGGACTTTCCCTGCACCTCCCCCCCCCACACCCAACATGGGCTCCTCAGAGGAGGTGGCTCCCCTTGTTTACCAGCGACTCCAAATGTGTTTGGGGTTGGTGGAAGATGCCAGCAGACATTTTACTCTCCCAGCTGGGAAAGCACAGTCTCCACCCACAGGCTGAAGGGAGTCAGCCACCCTCCCCCTGCTTTACTGCCTCCTTGGGTACCAATTATTCTCAAGTGAAGGAGACAGAATCATTTCTTGTGGTCCCAGGCCCACTTCTCCACAGGATTGACTTCTTTAGGCGCGAGGCTGAGCCTCCCATGAGGGCGGACATTTCTGAATGTCTCTTTAGGAAAACTAGATGATCTTTTATTGGAAGTCATTAGTAAGAAGCAGCCAATGACCTCTTCCTGCCCTCTCTCCTTGGGAGTCAGCCATCACTACTGCCAGCCCAGGAAGTGTGCTGGCCCTGGTATGTCCTAAGATGTTGACTTTGTCAATGTGGCTCCAGGAGAGGTGATTTGAGGTACATTAACCAGAATGCCCTGAGGAAATGGCTATTCCCATCCTTGCCTACCCACAGGAAATGGGAGCCCTGACCATCTTACCTGCATGGCCACCAGGTGGCCACCAGAGGGAGTTTGGCAGATGGCTTGAACCTGCAGGGACCTTAGAATCCAACCAAACATCAGCTCCCCTAACACTTCTGCTCAGGGCCAGCCTCACCCTCTGTGCTGGCACTCACACCTCCCCCAGAGACCCTGGTCCCACTCACTGTGACCACCTCCCAACTCATACCCACTCCCCCATACTCATGCCTATTTGGACTCACACGCACCTGCTCTCGTATTGAGAGGTACATGTCATAAGCACATGTTTGCCACACACACACACACACACACACACACACACACACACACACACACACACACACCTTCATACCCCAAACCTCACCCATACTGGGTAGGTCTCCTTTCTCTGCACCGTGGTGTCAATCTAGCCTGTTCCACCTATGAGACCCTTCCTTAAGGACAGCTGTACCCCTCCCCTGGGACCCTCTTGGCCATTCTCTTGCTACCATGGAGATGTCCCAAGAAGAGCTGAACAAGGGGATGGTACAAGCTAGTGAAACAGGAAAGGAAAAGCAGTCTGACCCTGGGCACATTGGCGAACAGAGGGGTAGCAAGGCCACACCAGCTATGAGGTGACTAGAGCCGCCTGGCCTAGGGATCTGGATTTGCAGGATTCTGTTCAGAAGTGGTGCTGGGAACTGTGCCTGGTGACCTCTGCCCAGCGACATCTGCCCTGGGATACCAGAGAGACTGAGACTCTACCTCCCGGTGTCCTCATCCTATTCCTGGATGCTGTGAGGTGGAGACATAGTTTGCTTCTCACTGACATCCAGTGGCCACTGGCAGGATGGTAAAGTGGGGCATGAGCCAGCATGTGGAGGTGAGTTCAGGGTCCCACAGGCTCAGGCTGTCCTGAAAAGGGCCACTTTCCCTCAGAGGGACCAGTGATTTTCCCCAAGCACATCATACAGCCCACAGGGTTAACTGTTAGGCAGAGAAAACAGCAGCCCAGACATCCTGGGCTCTGTTGTGAACATGATGGACTTTGGGGGTGGGTCAGCAGTCTTACCTCTCCCACTGAGTTAGACAGAGCCTGGACTATCTTCTCATGGGCTGTGGCTACCACACTCTGTCCGTTGATCTCGATGATTCGGTGGCCGACGCGGACACCACCTCGCTCTGCAATACCCCCTCTCATGAGGCTGCAGATCTATGGGGACAGGTGAAGTCAGCATATACATTCCCACCACACCCTGAAGATGCTCTGCCATGTCTCAAAGATGCTGGAAGGGAAAGTACTATTGCAGAGAGGAACCCAGCATGCCACTCTGTGACTCATGACTGAGGACATCTGTGAGTTAGAGTTTTAAAAGGATGAGCCAACACCATCATGTGGGTGTCAGGAGCTTCCTGCTGTTGCCTACAGCAAGCATCTCTCCATCAGCCACACCCCAGTGTTCTTTCTGAGGAAGACAGTTGGTGCCTCCCTTTTCCCACCTCACAGAGATTGAGGTGACAAACTCTTAGGCAAACAAATGTTGTTTGGGAAAGTGACACTGTATCTAGCCACTCACTCACAAAACTTGTTAAAAACCAAGGCATTAGAAAAGTAGCATCCAGAGAGACCATGGAGAGGAGAGGGAGATGTCATACACAGGAAGAAATGCACCCGTCTCCCTCCAGCTGCAGTCTAGGAAGCCAGGTAAATGGAGGAGGAGCCATTAGAGAGCAGCTGCCCTCAGACCTAGGGGTCTCTCATCACTCTATCCCCCAGCCTCAGTCATTCTGGCCTGCATGAGTGAGCTCCCAGGAGCACCTACTATCCACCCACCCATATGGGGACAATGTTCTTGCCTCCTGCTGTGGCTTTTCTTGGTTGTCAACTTGACTACATCTGGAAGTGGCTGGGTACACCTGCAAGGGATTTTTCTTGATTGAATCATTTGAAGTGGAAAGATCCACCTTAAATCTGGGCTACACCCTCTGCTGGCAGCCTATACAAGGGCATGGAGGCAGAAGCTTGCTCTCTGCCTGCTTGCCCCTGCTCTCCCTCATAAGTGAATTTGTTCACTGGTATCAGAGCCTACTTCTTCATGGTTTGGGGATTCGGCCATCGATTGAAGACCAGCTGAAATGTCCAGCCTCATGGAATGAGCATCTATTGGATTCTTATACTTTCCATTGAGAAACAGCCATTGTTGGAATAGTCAGACCATAACGTATAAGACACTCTAACACACACATATATTAATATTAGAGTGTGTTTATATAGATATATAAAACTGATTATATATAGTCATGTATACAACTATAATCGTGTGTGTGTGTGTGTGTGTGTGTGTGTGTGTGTGTGTGTGTAATCAGTTCTGTTTTTCTAGAGAACCCATCTCCTCAGTGTTCTAGCACCCCCAGCTAAGGTCACACCTCATTGGTTTGGTCTGAAGACTGATCCAGATGCAGCAATACCAGCCTGGCAAGCTGGAGGACCCCAGTGCCCCAGGGCCTAAGTGTCATAGGAAAGCTTTTTTTTTTTTTTTTAATTTCTTCCTTGGTCTGGGAACACTCATAGTCCAGCTAAAGTCTCATGGCACTTTACAGGTCCTCAGACTACATGACAAGAGTCAAGAACTCTAAAAGATAAAGGTCAGTTGCCTGAAGGAGACATGGGTGGGGGTTGTGGGTGGAGCCAGGCAGGAAAGTTGTGGCTGTGAAGTCTTGCCTTATTGAGGATGCTCCTTGGGGCCCTGAGGTGAGCCCCCAGGCACACTCAGAAATATGCATAGTGTTTGGTAATGGCTCACCTTGCATCTGAGCAAAAGGTGCAGGTCCTCCTCCTCCAACCCTTGCTTGGCCACCTCCACAGCCCTCCCTCATCACCCTCATTACCCACATGACAAAGGAAGCTTAATTCCTCCCACACAAGCTGGCTCTGGCCACGCCATGCCTCAGGTGGCCATTTCTTTTGTGGGTCTTCCCACAGCAGGATGAAGGGGAGCCTCATGTGACACCCACAGCTTGACCTTGTGGATCCTTCCCTTTCTAAGGAAGCATATGCCCTGGCTGGGATATGAAAGAGAGTGTTCTAGTCCAGGGACACTGTCTGTGTCAGGCCACGGGGACTGTGAGCCCAACTGCCATCCTAGAGCCTAGGTATTCTAACTGATGATGTCCAGCAGGAGGGGCAGCCTCAGGGCACCACTGCCCAGGATGCTAAAGCCAGCTCTGCCCCACAGGGCTCTTCTTGCCAGATTGCCTACCTTTTCCCAAAGTGACTTAGGAAACTGTGTGATGATCTTGAGTGAGGTGATTCAGGGTGGCCTGAAGACAGGGCACATGTCTGAAAATGCTATTTTGATTATATCCCTTGTGGCCACCGGCTTTTGGAAATTAGAGAAAGAGGATAAAGAGGGGGAAAGAAGGGAAGAGAGTGAGGTTTGTGCCTCAGGGAGGTGTCAGGCTGTGGAGTATAAGGCACTGGGGAAATGGAGGCAGGAAAGGGGAGGCAGAGGCACCAGAGGGAGCTGTCAGGTGCCTGGTGCTGTTGGCCTCCCAAAATGAGGCCTGTACTGCAGGGGTCTCTGCATGCTCTAACTGCCCAGTCCACACTCCAGGAAGCCTCCAAGATGGAGACTTCTTGACTCCTTGGGTGATAGAGTGGGAAGAGGAAGGAGGATCCATATGGAAATAGCCTTAATTGGGTCATCTGGGGCCTGTCTACAAACTAATGTGTTGTGCTCGGGGTGCGATGAGGCTGAAAATGGGAAAAGCACTTATGCAAAACCAGTTCTGAGGTAGGCAAGCTGCTCCAGGAGACACAGGGGAACTCAGTCATGGTGCAGAGAGGAGAGGGGGAAACTTGGCCCCTTGGCTGGCCAGCCACTGGTAGGGACTGAGGTAAGCACCTTACAGGCAACTGAAATCCTAAGTTCTACATACAAACACATCAGTCCTCCTGTACCAGTCCCAGGTGTCCCCAAATCTATACATGCCCTCCACTGACACCCCACTACCTGCTCACAGCCTAAGCAGGGCCTTTATAATATATGGCTCATTACTTAGCCAGGAAAACTGAGATCAGAGTTTTACAACCTCGTTGGACTGGGTCCTGGTCGTTGCCACTAACTCAGACCCTGAGAAAGTCCAACCCTACCTCAAACCCCCCCTCCACGCCCCCATGACCTTTGGAGACTAACAGTTTTGTACTCAGGATTATACGTGTGTTCCATCAACTCCAAGCCCCTCCGAGCCAGGCTTCTGAACTCTGCACCTGCAAACTTCTACCACTCACTTCGCTATAGGCCATCACCTCCATTCCCCCCACCCTACACACACCTTGCCCTCTGCTCTGGTCTCTGAGGAGGGGGGCTCACATTCCACAGGGGTTCCCTTCCCTCCTCACCCACCTCAATTCGGCCCCCCAAGCTCAAGCCAGAGCCTCCCCTACTTGTTACCAATGCCCCCCTCTCAGACCCATGGTACACAGTCACTTTTGCAGGCTCTGACCTAAACAGAGAGGGACCTGGACCCCAGGCCCGTGACACTACCCAGGCTCTCTGATCCTACAGGAAACAGTGAAGAGTGTTTCTCTCATTAGTAGTTGTCTTTCTAGAATGCTGGTCTAGCACTTTTCTTCAGGGCTGTTGGAGAGCACTCACATCCACTTCTCCTCCTTTTCTCATTGCCTTGAAGCAATCTGAGATTGTTTAAGTAATCCAGGACATGGTCCCTTCTGTATTCATTTAGCGGCCATAACTTTGCCCTTCAGGACCTTTGCAGGAGGTAAACCAAGGACCCCAAGTTCATGCTGGCCCAACAAGTCAGAGAAAGTAGTGCCCAGACTAAGAACTTATGCTCAGGAAGCAGGTAGGTGCTTGGCCGAGTGTCCCTGCCTCCAGGAAGGTCTGCTGTCTTCTTAGTGCCTGCCACAGAGCCTGACAGGGAGCAGGGGCTGCTGCTGAATGGATAAGCAGATGAACTGAATAAGTAAAGATGTGTTTGTTGAGCACAGTAAGTGTGATGCCAGCATTTGGCTGTGTGTGTCCAGGCTACAATAGCTGGCAAGGATTGCTGTTCCCCCTTACATGTAAGTACTTGATGAGAATAATCCTCAAAGGAACATGGGTCTGGCTTTGAGGGATCCCGGGCCACATACTGGCCCACCACCTTGTCTGCTTTGGCCAGCATGTTCTGTCTAGATCTGTTGGGCCTGGATGCTCTCCCTAGAGCTTCAGAGTGACACCCCAGCCTTCAATGCCCAGTCCTACACACGGAGTGTGTGGCCCAGGCAGGGAATGTGGGAGTAGACTTACAATTCCATTCTGCACGCTGAAGCCCAGCTGATACTTGAGGTCTGGACGCTTGATGAGGACTGTCGTGACTGGGGGACAGCTGACAATGTTGAGCTTTACCTGTGTTTGGTTCTTCAGGCCCTGCAGAGCATGGGAACAAGTCACTAGCTGGTCCTAGCTGTCTCAGAGATACACAAAGAGGAACTGAGGGGCCTGAATACCAGGATCACACTCAGGCCATGGGAACAGCTGTCCACAGACTGTACACAAAAGAACTTTCTCTTCTGTGAAGACATCACTGTGTACCCAAACTCTCTCTACAGATGACCCCCCCCAAGAGGAACATGCCAGCTCAGTGAGAACCTGAGTAGGTCCTGGGGGTTTGGGAACTGCATCAGGACAGGCTAGCTGGGAGCCAAGAGAAGCTATAGGCTCTAGAGAGGACAGTTCTGTCCCAGCATCTCAGGCCAGAGAGACTTGGCCTTTCATGGTTACAATTTAAACTTCCCCAGAGATGGATATACATACAGGGCTCCCAGGACCCTCCACAAAAACCAGGCTGGGCCTGCATGTATCTGTCCCATTGGATAGAGGCTTTTCTAGGTTGGCTCTTAAAATGCCTTTATGTCACAATCTGGTCTTTGAAAACCTGTCTTGTTGAAAGGATGGAGGGGCTGTCCTAGTTACATGATTACGAAGGGCTGGGAGAGACAAGCATGGCTGCTACCAATACCAGTACTCACCGTCTTGAGTCTTGAACCAGGCAGTATGAAAATCTGACCCCAACTATTTGTGTTCCCTCTGCCTAAGCACCGCCCAAAGTCCCAAGCTCACAGGTAAGGGGTCAGAAAGAAGATTAGCCTCCCTGCACACTTAAGACAGCCCACCTTCCAGGCTGCCATAACTAATAAGAAAGCTTCCAGAAATACCTCCTTCAGGGCTAGTTGGGAATATCCCAGGCACAGAAGGCTGAGTCAACACCCTGCTTACGTAGGTCCTCAGCTCCCTGCCTGGAGTGAGATGACACTTCCTTTTTCTATGCTGGGGAAGCTTGTGTCTTCCTCTGACTTCAGATATGTGCTAGTATTGGGATCTACTGACTCTCATGGACCCACCACTGGATCTCACTGGGCTTCAGTGTCAAGTGAGCATCATGGGTCAAGTGTGGTGGGGCTGAGGAAACTACCAGCACAGGATCCCAGAATACACACCTTGATAATGCCCTGGCAGGTAGCAAGCGGCAGCCCCACCAGGCTGGTGCCATTGATGGACATGATCTGGTCACCAATGCTCAGCTTCCCGGAGCGAGCTGCAGGGCCACCATTCATCATATTTGCCAGGATCACAGTGGGCAGGATGGAGCCCCAGCCTGATTCCACAACCACCACTCCCAAAATCTCACCCTTGTGCTTCTCCAGCTGCAGCTGCAAGAGAAGGGACAATGTGAGTGGGCACACTTGTGGCCAAGCCCAGGGAAAGATGTGACTGGGCCCAGTCCCATTGATCCTATCCTGCCTTCAGGCAAATACCACCTTATCCCAGCTATGAAAGGTTTGGGGCTGAGAGAACTACCCTTCCTCTGGGTCAGCACCAGCTTCCAATGCTATCCAGGACCCAGGAACATTCTGGGAATTGAGAATCACAGAGTCTCTCCCCCACCCCTCTCTTCATACTCAGCAGGGATCCAGGGATGCAAGCATCCTGGACCTTTCCCACCCACCAAACCCTCTGAGGCCAGAGGAACGCCCTCTAGTGCCTATCCCTGCCCTAACCTTTACTCTCACCTCCAAAGTCCCACTTCTTCTTCACTTTAACAATGTCTCTCTCAGAAAAACTATCTGCCACACGTTCAAGAAGCCAGGATCTGGCATGCACTCAACAGGGATCCAGGATAATTCATTCATCCACTCCTCCCACAGACCCACACAATCATCCCCTCACTAATTCCAAAAGAGCAGACTCATTCATTCCAAAGCTCCCAAGGAAGGCCTCTGGGATCTGCTAGGGCTTCTGCCACCAGCCATCTCAGAACTTCCCTGACAACTCAACCAAGCTCCCTATTTTAAAGATGACTCCCTCGAGCTCTGCAGAAATATCTCCTAGTGCTAAGCCGAGTGGTGACAGCATTAAGAGACACATTTCCAGGGCCATTAAGACTGATTGGAATCTTTGTCTCTGCTGCAAGCATCTCATCTCACAGCTCCAAGGTGGGAGCAAGACAGATTCTGTAGGCCCCTGTGTTGGACACACTGGTGAGTGTGAGGACCAAAGCCTTGACCCCATCCTTGCCTGGTGAGCTAGATGGGGAGGCATTGAGAGGCCACACCCAGGCTGCCTGGCCAATCTCTGCAGTGCCTCAGTTAGGAGAGCAGTGTCTAGCAGACTGACCCTGGGGGCCCCAGCTGATGTGGCTCACCTCCTTGCAGTTCTCTGAGTTTGAGAAGTGGATGAGATCATCATTATACATCTCCTGGGTATTGATGATGTCGCTATATTCCTTCTGGCTCAGGTCTTCAGGGTTGATGCCATTGGCCCTCAGGAACTCCTGGTAGGCCACACTGAAGGCCTGCCCAATAGACTGGGCTATCAGCTGGGCCTGTGGGAAGGGAGTAGTCCTTCTAAACCAAAGCATGGACACACAAGCTCTACTAGGTGCCCATAAGCCTTCCAAGGAGCCCTTGTTTGGGCTTAAAGGATGAAGGGAGTGACTCTGGGCTCTAGGCTAGTGAAAACCTTCTGCCACTCACATTCCCACCTCAGGGGACCATGGTGAACCTCTCTGCTGTCTGTACTCATGTCCCAACACTGGGACAAAGCAAGGCTTTTGTAAAAAGAACATGGAAAATTACAAAGTAGAAGTATTTGTTAAATACCAAACTTTATTGCTTTAATTAGGAAAATGTTTTTAGTTTACCTATTTTATTCTAAAAGTAGAGTGGAACTCCCCCCCCACCCCAAGTGATGCTTACATGGTTGGTTAGTTATCTATTCTATCTCTCCAGAATTACAAAGCCCAAACAGGTGGAGGCTGATGTGTATGACACACCACTTTGGTACATGAGGGTGTGCTAAGCTGAGGGTCACAAGTTATGGATCTGGGCCCAGAACAGACTCCACATTGTCATGATCACTTCTTTCTATGACCTCAGAAAGAAACCTATGGAAGCCTGGACACTAATGACAGACAGCCTTCCAGTCTGCGATGCAAGCAAGACACTGGGGGCAGACACTAAGAGGCCATCTCCTGGACTACACCACATGTTTCAAGCTGTGCAGCCCTGGGAAGGCATGGAACTTTTAGAAACATTGCACTGTATAGTCAAACCAACATCTCCCTCTCCCACCCAACCCCCTTGCTGTGTGAGCTCCACCCAGTCCAAGTCTTCCCTATGCCCCTTCCCCTTCACATCTGCCCTTGAGAGGCCTCTGCAGGGTAACTCTGAAAACCTTGGTTCAGTATGATCAAAGAACAGGGGTTCTGGCTTCAAACGAATGGTACATCTAAAATCAAACTGGGATGGATCATAGTCTCAGCATGTGGGGCCTTGCTTTAAATATGCACTGGTTCTAGGTTGAACTGCCTGCCCAAATCAGGCCATGAACAGCATAGAAGGATACCACAATTCCCACATCAGCTTACTTAGCATGGGGTAGATGTGGCAGCCCAGAAACCGCTAGGTGGCGCTGCCGGCCTGGATAGAAAAGGAGCCAGTTCAAGATCAGAAGGGAGTCTTGAGAGTAAACCAGCAAAGAAGGCACACACATGGGGGGGGGGGGTGTCTCAATGCTCCTGCAGTCAAACCCTCATGTTTCCACCGGGGAAGGGTGGACTGATTGCATAGATGTCTTTACCAGACTGCCTACTGTCCTAGGTTCTTCTGAGATGCACTCCCCATCCCCTATTTTCCCACTATATTATGCCCCTCCTTCTTACCCCATGGAAATGCCTGGGAGACCTAAACCAGCCACACATCTTGGAATGATCGCCCTCTTCAGGAGCATCCATGGAGACTGCACTGCCCGCTGTCCTGCTGTCCTCTTTCTCCTCTTGCCCCCACCTTCCTTGCTGCTTTCCCCGCCTTCCCCTTGTGTTTGGTTTCCCTCCTGCCTGGACAGGAGCTAACTCAGAGGGCTCACTAGCTGAGGCCCCGCTCTACCCCTTCTGATGGGGGCTCCTTACTTGGTCCAGTTCACAGCCCGCCTGTGGGTATAGGCTGCTATGAGTCCTGGCTGACCTGAGGGGTAGGTGAAGGGTCTCAGTGACTGGTGGCCTCCTGCTGGTGGGCTCTGGGTACTACAGAAGTCAGGAGGGGGCTGTGCCTAGCATCACTCTTCCTGGCTCTGTCTCCATAGTAGCATCTACCTTAGCCTCAGCCTCAGAGCACCGAATTCTACCTTACAGAGGGGCACCCAGGGTCCCGCAGCCTACCCAGACAGGTTTACCATTGCATCCTCTCCCCAAACAGCAGCTCTAGAGTGCCTGGCATTGCTAGAACAATTTTTTTCCCCTCTCACTCCTTCAAGTATTATTTAGGTCCTCCCTTCACTGTGCTCCCAGTCCTGTCTCCTGCCCAGTGGTCGGCCACAAAGGCAGCTCCTACCTCAACCCCTACCAAAAGATTCTGCCCCAGCTGTGCCTGGGCCCCTCATATTCCTTGCTCCTCCATGATCTGCACACGAGCCCTACTGATTGCTGTCTCTGGCTCACACTATACACATCACTTGCCATCTACCACACCAGCTCTCTAAGACATCCCCAAACTTCCAGCCACACCAACATGCTTGCCCACCTGTCCACAGATCCCCCATGCAATAGTGGGAAGTATATACCTGTGAACTAGTAGGTCTGTACAGAAAAACTGGCCTCTAGTATAAAACTCACATTTCAGTTGATGACTTAGGAAAAAGATAACAGCCCTCACACACTGGTCTAAACCTTGTTTTCAGATAAAGATTCTATACTGTGTTTCAAATCATGAACTATATATGGGTCCTACATTGATCCATCCATACTTGAAGCCCTCTTGTGAACAAGCATGCCTTAGCCCCGGGGGACTGACCGGTGCTGCCACAACATTGCCACCACTGACAAAAGCTGGCAATGGTCTCTTCACAGAAGGTCAACAGAGAAAAGATAACAGCTCAGCTGTAGCCTTCCCAGAATGCGAAGGACCTGTCAAGACATTGGAGACCCCCTCACCCAAGGTCACCTCTAGTTTTATTTCTGTTATCTGGGCTTCTTTGTTTTTGTTTTTTTAGGCAGTTCTGACTGACACACGTGATTCCACTGCCTCAGCTTCAGAGGGGCAGGATTACAGGGTTCTGCCACCCTAGGATCTCTTAGCTCTGGTATTTAAAACTTCAAAAAATGTTTTGACTTATTACATAGTAAAATGACACAGCAAAGGCACAGCCTACTTAGCCTTAATGCAGCCTCCTGTGCATCCTTGGCGTGTAAGCATGTGCATTTTCATAAAAGAGAAGTTAAAAAAACACTTAAAAATCACTTAAAAATCACTTAAAATCACTTAAAAAAACAAAATCTGATATATGGTAAAAAAATATATTTAATTGTAGTAAACTATTTCTATATAGAAATCTATTTCTCTCTACTATCTAGTATTCCTGAAGTCCCAAATTTTGTAAACCAATGCTGGCTTTGGAGTTGGATTTGGCTTTCCTTCTCTAAATTCAAGCATGTTGTTAAGATTAAATTCATGGTTTCTGCCTTAAATCAAAAAGCCAATTGGTATAAGACAAAAGAAAACAAAATCTGGGGACTCATATCTTATACAATTTTCTCTCTGAAATCCTAATTTTCTCACATACTTTTAATGCTTATTGTTGTCTTTCCCTAATGCATACCTTAAAACTTAAAAATTTTACTTTAATATTGATGTGTAACTTTTCCACAAGGAATAATAACGATTCCTAACAACAGTCTTTGAACTTTCCGGAAAGAAGATGGGGCCCCACATCATCGTTTCCACTTGACTCAACCTGATGCATCGGAACTACAAACATCACCCTAAAACCGGTTTGAGACTGTTTTACTCGAGACAACTCATGACTACCTAGCTGTAATGGTACACCTTTTTATTACACCCTGGCCAGTTTCAAATAGAACTACAGTCAAGAATTTTCTGCCACACAGTGACTAACTACATATGTCACAGCCAGTTCTGTTGAGAAATTTGGTTGCTAAAAATTTTCTTCCTACAGGATCCATTGGAACAATCATCGTCCCATTTCAGCAGGAAGTAATCTTAATATGACTACGCCCCCTTTCCCTACCCTTGGAATTTTGGGATAATAGTCATCGTCTTTGGGTTGGTTTTAGTTATTTGGGATTGGGTGATGCTTACACTCGGGTTTATCTTTTAGACAAGAATAGGGAATGGTTGGTAAAGGTATGGTTTAGATGGGATATAGGTAGATTAGCCTATTTTCTTGAGAATTTGAGTAAGAATGAGATAGTATTTTACAACTTGCATTGTTGTGTATTCTTATGTGGTAAGCTATGTAAAATTAAGTTTATATTTTGTTATATTGTGTTAAATGTTTCCCCTTATAATATTTTATGCACATTATTTTTTTTACCATATTCTATGTATGTATACTTTTCCTGTATTCAAGACATTTTGTATATTGATACAATTTGGGATATTTATCTTGCTGCCCTTTATAGTTCTACCTCTTGTCTTGACACTTATACTCTACCTCTATTTTAGGGATTTACATGTAGGTATATGTAAATAGTTATATTGTTTAAGTATTTGTTCCTGCTTTACTCAGGAAAGTTTTAATCAGTCTTTTTAGCTAAGTTCCCAAGTATTACAGATTATCTTCACTCACATTTCCTGTACCTATGAGATTAGTCAGATATAGATGCTTAATCTTCAATCACTTCATAGACATGCAGAACATGGCATTTAAATGTTTTAATATTAGTACTCCATTGACATGAGACACTGTTGCTCCTGACAGCACCGTGCACTTTCCCGAAAATATGTTGGACACTGTTGTTGCTCCTGCTGGAGTTCAATCTCGCCTCAGCTAATGGCCTGTTGGGCATAGAATTGCCCCCACCTTGACCACTGATTTGGACATGCAGTCCTATGTGCTTGCAGGAGACAAATATAAAAGACTGCTTGACCTTGCCAAGTCAGGGTAAGACAGCCATTCTATTTCCCTGCTGTTGTTGTGGTCTGTCAAGTTCTCTTGGCCTTAGCCAAATCTGGGTGTACCAACGTTGCTGTGAGACCTAGGGTGACTGTTCAGGTGGCTTGCTGTTTCTGTCCTTGCTACACCTTTTGGAAGTTGTCCATCCACATTTCCTGTCTACTCTAGTATTGTTAATTTCCTTCTCAGGTCTTGATGAGGTTGAAGATTAAACTATCACAACTAGTATTCTCTCTTCCTTGTTAGATATATTAGGTACTAGACTTACGTTTTCCAGCTTAGGACAACTCTATTGTAAACTCCATTATGCCCTCACCCTAGGACTAGATATGTAGGTCATTTTGTTCTCGATTTTCCTTTTCTTAGAGCACACTTGTTATTCACTGTTTTGTATATAGTTTTGTATTAAGCCTAAATCTTTTCTTTAGACTAAAAGGGGAATTGTAGTGAGGTAGTCCTTCTGTAGCACTGACCACGCCCATTGGGGGGTGGAGCGATGGGCGGAGATGACCTGAGGAAGGAGGTCGGAGGGGGCCAGGAAGGCTCTCTCTTTCTGGCATGACTTGGACAGGAGAGGATCGGGTTGAATTTCCTGGTGTTCATCTGTCTAGGTTGTAAGTTATTTCTCCCTGAATAAACATCTATTTGGCCTATTTGTTTATCCTGATCCTTATTTACCGCAATAGGCAAAGATGAACTTTATCTCAGAGTGAGAGGCTATATAGAATGATTTCTTTGGTTAGTTAGTTGTTATGTATTTAACAGCTCCAGAAGCACCTGTTCTATGAAGGGAAATAAACCTGTTTATTCACAGATATAGGTGTGAGAAAAGGCGCTGATTCCTCTCACACGTGGACTCTGGAGCTCAGAGTGGCTCCCTGGCTGTTGAGAGAATGGCCAGCTCCCCACACCCTACATCCTAGTCCTTACTTACATCCTCTGACTCAAACACGTGACAGATCATCTTGTACTGCTTCTTCCCCTCCTGGGCCCCAGGTGTGGTCTCAATGCAGTCCTGAGAGGCTGACCGGGGCATGCGGCGCCTGGCCATCAGAACCACGATGTTCCCAATGTCTGCAATGTAGGAGATGGTGCGCAAGGCATGGTCCATCATGGTCTCCTGTGGGGAGGAGGAGGGGTCACATCAGGGAGCACTGAGATTATTTGCCACTAACAACCAGTCTAACCTGGAGTTTTGTAACCTTGACCCTACTACCATTTGGGGCCAGATCTCTCTAGTGCAGAAGGCAGGGATATCCTGTACACTAGAGGATGGTAGCAGCATTACTGGCCTCCAGCCACTGGATACCATTGCCAAATGTCCTAGAGGAAGGGTGGGAGGTATTGAGTGGCCCTTGTTGAGAACCATAGCTGTAGTTAATATAGTGTTTTACGACAATCCTGGACAGAGTGGCCTTTGTGATGCTTCTCCAACTCCACCTTGGAGAAGGAGCATGTCATGTGCTGAAGTACATCCCAGTAACACATATGGTTGGTTACACACAGGTTGACTCCATGCCTTCCCAGTTTTCCTGTGTTAAGGCCAATGATGAGTTTGTCACAAGTCAGGAGATAAAGTAGCGAGCCTGCCTGAGGTCAGCGTATCTCTATAGTGGCCCCTGGCCAGGCACATTACTCTTGATGTCTTTTGCCACTTGATCGGAATCTCCTTGGGCAGCCTGCCCATGACCCCTTCCTAACAAGGCTGCACACAAAGGCTCTGAAAACTCATCAGCTGGCCTTTTGTGCCTTTGTTCTTCTATCACAAAGGGAAATCTAGTATCTCAGAGGCTCTGACCTCCAGTGCTCTTTCCCTCTGCACAGATCCTTTCTCTTGCAGTGTGCATGGCATGCACCTCTCTAGGCACTGGTGTACTTGCTGCCAAGGTTACAAGGAGGCTCATCATCCATAACACAGGGAAGGCAGGGGCCAAGTCTTCAGCATTGAGACTCTGGCATCTGAGACACTGACCACTAGCAAAAGCTTCCAAATCATTCCCCGGCTCTGGATCCTCAGACAGAGGCTGCCACTGTGGTGGCCTCACTCCCCCTGGCCACTTCAGCCCCTCCTCTCTCACCTGTCTCCACCCTCCAGCATCTACCAGTGTTTCAAACCAGTCTCCTGCTGTCACCTCCTTTCCAGTTCATTCTAAACAGCAACTTGGAACAGGCTCACTAGCTGTCAACAGCCAACCCCCTTCTTTCCTTCTTTTTTCTGGGAGACAGCATTCTGGCAAGAGCATCAGCCAGGGGCAGGGGGTGAAAACAAATAACTACCTCAGCAGGCTAGATGGTGGTCCCAAGAGAGACTCATCTACAAGGCCCTCCTAAGCTGGCACACAGGAAGTATATTTCAGAGCAGCTGCCATCACACTACCACAGAGCCTGATCCCCACTGCCTGAACTGTTTGTGTGGAAGGCAGGGCCTACATGGGACACCACCATTCTTTCTGGGGGTCTGCAGTCTTATCATATGGCAGGAAGAGGGTCCCCAGACAGGGCCTTGGGTGGCAGATACACTAGCAGTGGCATTCACTTCTAGGGGAGCTGAAGAGTGCCTGGGGACAGACTGCAAACGAAGCAGGGTTCTCCTGCACTTCGCCCAGGTACCCTTCCTTTTGCTGACAGCTGCAGCTGGATCTGGAATGTTCCCAAAGGCCCCTACCCATGGTGCTACTGAGAAATGGCAGAACCTCCAGGAGGCTGGGCCTGGAGGAATAAAGCTAGGTCACTGGGGATATATCTGGGGGTTATTAGAACTTCAGGCCACCATTTCCCCTCTCTTCTCATGAAAGCCTCCAGGAAATAGGCAACTTCCTCCCCCATGTGATCCCACTATGATGGCTGCCTCACCACCCATGCATAAAAACAGTAGGACCAGGCTGTAGATCAAGCGATTGTCAACCTTCCTAATGCCCTTTGGTACCATTCCTCATGACCCCCAACCATCAAGTTATTTTTTGTAGCACACTTCATAACTGTGAATTTATTATGGTTATGAATCATAATATAAATATTTGATGTGCAGGATATTCTATATGTGACACTCAGGGGTCCTGACCCACAGGTTGAGAATGACTGCTATAGACCATAACAAAAAGTTAACTAAATGGCAGAAACACATTGATGCTGGGAACTAGGGTCTATACTGTAAGACAAAGGGGAGTGTACGGGATGGGAAGAGCACTACCATCCCAACAGGCGGTCTCAGGTATAATGAACTTATAGCTTTTTGCAGCACATGCCGTTCAGTTCCACAAACTGCCAGGGCTCAGGAGCAATGACTCACCAGCAACTGCAAGCAGCCGCAGCCAGGTCCATATGTATGCATGTCATTGTCTACTAAAACAAACTGTGGGGCCCTGGAAAAGATGCCTGGCTCAGGACTAAGGAAGGTAAAGTGCAAGGTTATTGCCAAATACCTTACGGTCTCAGAAAGTAAAAGAGTGTTCAAACATCAGAGGGAAGAACACCATAATAACACCACTATCAACAAGGTTCTTGTGTCTTGCAGAAAAGTGACCAGGGAGACATAGAGCAGTATCTGTCGGTGGGTGACAACATGGTGTTGTTATAAATCACTGTTGTGTACTTTCCATGTTGCAAACAATATGGGCAAGAGTGTCAATAGCGGCCAAGAACTCAGAATATAAGGGATCCGGAACCCAGAAGGGCTAGTGCACGGGTTCTCAGCCTGTGGGTCACGACACTTTGACAAACATTTATCCCCAAACTATTTATATTATGACCCATAACAGTTTCAAAATTACAGCTATGAAGTATCAACAAAAATAATTGTATGGTTGGGGGTCACCACAACAGGAGGGGTACAGCATGAGGAAGGTTGGGAAACACTGTGTCTAGTGTGTCACCTCCTGATTCCCTGGCAATGACAAAGACACAAAGGTACTTTGAACCTGGGCACTGAAGTACAATCTTCCCTGGGAAAGCTCTTCTGCAACTAGATGCTCTCCTGAGGCCCCAGGCTAGCGTGATTCCGGACAACTGCAGGTCAAGTGCTTACCTGTGTGTCAGCGTTTAACACTTTGATCCTCTGGGTAGAGATGAAGAGGTCTACTTCTGTCAGTGTCTGGGTATCACCCTCAGAATTCTAAGAAAGAACAACAGATGTCACAACCCAGAGGTCCACCACAGTTCGCTGCCTCATGTGATACTATAGTGACCCTGAGTTGACACAGGTCCAAAGTGGGGCAGCCTCTGGAAGCCTGCATGCATGGGTGGTGGGGAACCCCCTCTGGAGTGTGAACTCTTGAGGTACAGTGCACAGGGAGAAGGGGAAGCTTGCCATAGCAGGTGCCTGGAGTCTTACGGCTCCCCTTGGCAGCCAGCAGGGCCCTTGGCTAATTCTTGCTGGATGTGGTGATGGTGACTGTCATCACACTCCAGGTACAAATCTTAAAGTTAGAGATGTTAGGAAATAGGGGAAAGGGAAAACATTCTCCAAAAAACTTTGCTTTAGACCTAAGCCCTTCCTTTTTACTTAAATGTAAACGTAATCACATGGGCACCCTTCCAAAGACAACAAAGAGAGATGGAGGACAGAACTGGGCAATGCCTGACAGTGACAGGCCAGTGCAGGGAGAGAAAGCTGTCACACCTTGATTGTGGCCTCCACCGGCAGTGGCTCAGTCTGCCAGCTGTGTTTCAACCTCCTGCTCTGGAGCTGAGCAGCTATTCAAGGCCTGCCCCTAAGCAGAGCAACTGCTAATTGTTCTTTACACCTGTGAGGATCCTAATTACCTCACAGTGGCACGAGAAAGTACTGCCCCATTTGCTCCCCATCCTGCCCTCCCGCTTTGCCCACTGGGGTGAGTAATTCAGTGTGATCTCTGGGGGTCTGGGGTGGCATCCTCAACCACCACATAGCAGAAACTGTGATGTAATTATTCAGTAGACAAATTCCAATCGAAATCCTCCCTGCAGACAAGTTTTCAAGAATCTAAGTTGCAGAGAAGCCCTGTATTTCAGTGACAACATATGTCTTAGTTCTGTTGCCAAGGGCAGAGATCTTTGGGGCTGTCAGTCAACCACAAGATGATCCTGCCTTTAAATAAGTAGAAAAAGAACAGACTCCTAGACAATCCAGTTGAAGGAAAACCTTCAGGACCATGAGGAGCTTTCCCTCTGTTTGAAAATACCTGGGTTACATTCCACAGCAGGGGAATCCCCACCGCCACCATGTTAAATTGTTTAGGTTAGCATACAAAGTCACTATCCCCCCATGACATCTTCATACATGTGTGTCACTGCACTTCACTGTTGTATTCGGAGATTACAGCTCAAAATCCTGCTGCTTAAAAGTAGGAAAAGCCAGAGTAAATAATAATAATAATAAAAATTATAGGTTGCCCTTGGTGTTAGGCCTTCAGTAAAGGAATTTTAGTGAAGAATCTCCAGAGGGCTACACTCAGATGGTAGGAAGGCAAACAGAGGTGAGACTGACAAAGAGATGGGGTAGGTCATCTATGACCTGCCCTGGCAAAAGATGGAGAGAAACAAAGTCCTACAAAAGGGCACCAGAGAACAAGGTTGGCCATGGTTCAGCCAGGACAGTGTTCCCCACTATCTGCAGTCAGATCATAAAAGGGGCCCTACACAGTGACCCAGGAAGAAGGCACCTTCTGCCAAGGTGGCCTGGCTGCCGACCATTCTGAAAAAGACCGCACTGTGTCTCACCCCATTAGAGTCTGTGACTCCAGAGGATTTCTGGGCCTGCAGACCCAGAAATTGGTTACAATCGCTAAGAACCCCAGTGCCCCCACTTCCCCCAGTCCTGAGCAGCTCAGGGGAGGGCAGGGATGACAAACAAGAAGGTTCTCTTCTGCACAGAAACATGTCCATCCACAGGCCTGCAACCTACTGCCTAGAGGTCCTTAACATCCAGTCTGAGCTGGCAGATGGAGAGCAGTGAGTTCATCCCCCAAACATGAAAAGGGAGCCCAGCAGGTAGGGTCCTTTGGCCACAAAATCAGAAAGTGCTGTCACTTTGAGGATGAGAAACTAGATCTCTTGTTGCTGAAACATAAGTTTAAAAGGGGGTAGATAACAAGCCACTGTGCTGCATCTCCATGAACTTACCCAAGCCCCCCTGAAACCAAGCTTGCTGGTGTCATATGTAAGGATATAGAAAAAAAAACCAGCATTTACAGAATAACTAGGTCAATAAACCAGTGACTGTCAACCTAATTTTGAAAGTCTACCCAGGCTTTAAGAACTGTTTTCTTTTCCTTCCTTTTTCTCCTTTTTTCTTTTGCTTTTAGATGTGTGTGCCAAGACCTTTGTGTGAAGGCGGGTGCTCTACCACTGAACCACGTCTAGTGGAGACAACTACTACTTGTCTTGGTTTAAAGGGTGAAAATTCATGGACCTAAAAAGCAGAACAATGTAGTTAATATTATACAGGAAGCCGAGTACTAGACAAACTACACTGTCCTAGCAAATGTCCTGTTTAGAAGCATGCACACAAAACAGAGCTCTGCAGACATGAACCATGCTTCCAGACATGGGAGGCAGTAGAAAAGCTGATTAACCTGGGGTAACAAGATAAACAGTATGTCTTCATCTCAAAATCCAGCATTCTCCTAAGAAGGAAGAAAAGCCTATATACTGCTTGAATTCCCATGCATGGGGTAAGACAGGTACGCACGCACGCACGCACACACGCACGCAAGCATTGCTGTATCAGGCCCACACAGGTCCTACACACCGCTTTTTTCTTGATCTTAGCAGCCTTCTGCATCCTCTGAGAAGCATGGAAAAGAAAAGAAAATCAGGAAGGAAGCTGTGGCAAGGTTATTTCAGCCTTATGCTTAATAGGAAGAACTCAGACTCTACAAGGGCCGGTGGACAGTCACCATTGTGCTGAGAGCACACAAAAGAGAGAGGCCATTCATGCCTGCCACCTCTGGGAGTAGAAATGACTGCCACTCACTCCATATACCCGAGGATAGGATCAGGTACCAGAAACCAGGCCAAGGTGGGCAGAGTCATAGGGCCCAGAGCTTTGGTCAAAGGAAAAGTAAAGGCTGGATTCAGCCCTGGCCCTCCCAGATTTGGATTATCTTCACCAGCATAGATGATCTGGTTCCCTCTGTTTCCATCCACTGCATAGTGGGGGTGGGGGGTGACACTGTTCCTCATTCCCACAGGCTGGTAGTATATTCAGGCTCCATTTATCCAGTGTTGGGCACCAAGTCCCCTCCTCTGACCTTACCTAGCTTTACTAGTATGATTTTGTATTCCCTCTGCCCATCCTCACCTGCTGACAAAACCACACAGGCCAAAAAGCCTACAGAGCTTTGAGTATATCAGTTTTCCTTGAGGCCATGCATTTGAGTGACACTTGATGTACCCTCCCCTGCTTCTCGAAGCACTTCAGTGCTAAAAATATACTGTTGGGATAGGATTTAAGTCTCCAAACAAATATGCTTAAAGACTGCAATGCCTCAGAACCATCAGCAGCCTTTGAGAAACTGTTTCCGAGTAGCTGACTGGACCACATCTAAGGAGACAGTGATGACTGTGCCAGCCAGGCTACAGGTCTCTTTTGGGATGCTGGGCCATGCCTACTTTCTGCACTGGACAAAGCACCTGAACCCCATCACTTTGGGGCACCCCCAGGGACCCTCCCAAGTAGCCCTCAGGGCCCAGAAGCACCCCACCTTGACCCTGCTGACAGCCTCCTGAGCCTGCATCATTCGGATGTTTTTGGAGGGGTTGCGCTCAGAGAGCAGCTGGGTGGAGCCCAGGTAGTTGGCTGCAAAGATGATCCCATCGATGAGGTCTTCTGGCTCACAGGGCCCTGGAACTGAGGAGGTATAGAGTGAGTGCCTTCCTAAAAGAGGAACCAGGAACCAGGAATTTACATACCCAGCCCAGCACAAGGTACACAGCAACCAGGATAGCAAAGAGGGGTGACTAAGCTGTGCAGTGAACCTGCAACTCAGGGGAAGCCAGTACAAGTCACACAACTGACCCATAGCTGAAAAGCTCTGCATGAATGGTGTGATGAGGGGTATTCCGGGCCCCCAGGCAACTGTGTCTCAAGGTATCCCAGACTTCAGGGTGACCTGTACCTGCTGTGGTCTAGAAAGGACTGCCTCCCAAACACAGCACACTTTCCATACTGTCGTGGAGGTATGTGAAGGTCCATGCTGAATTCTTCGGGGACTTTCTCTCCCTCCCCTCTCAAGTGGGGCTCCTGCCAGCCTGCAGTTTCTCATCCCACCCAACCCAGACCTCAGCAGGGCAACATGGTCCTGATTCTATCTGCTGCCTCTAGACTGTAACAGCACAGAAGAAGCTCTGATGGAGTACACCACCTATACCGTCCAGAACAAGGACCACAGACACTGGTACTCTGAACACTTCAACTGGAGTGGCTGTTCCTGAAGATGCAGCTGACACTCTGTATCTGAGACCCACATCTGTGAACTTCAGATCATGCACTATGTAATGAGACCGTGAGACCCGAGATGGCTGTGTCCATGCTGAGCAAGCTCAGACTTTTTCCCTCGTGGTTATTCCCTGAAAAACTACAGTGTAACCGTTGTTCACATGACACTTCTATTGTACCTGGTACTTAAAAGCCATCTAGAGATAAATTTGTGTGTGAAGGAGGGTGCACAAATTACATTTTTATTCAATGTGGATGTGGACAGCTGCAGACTGGCTTCCAAAGGGGTCCTACAACCAGCTCTCCACAGACATCAAGGGAGGGATAACTATAATTTTAATATGTTGAAACATTGAAAGCCACAGGTTACTGGTCCATGGCTCCTGAATAGGTCATTGCAGCTCTAGTGAGGGGGGTCTACTAACACACTCTTAAGGGGCAGATGAGGAAGACAGGGCTTTTCCTGTCTGTTGCAAGGACAAACTTCTGTCCTGAGATGCAGAAGCTGTGGTGGGTAGTATGGAAATGAGTGGGCAGGGTATATTATTTACAATATCAGGTGGGACTACAGTCAACTGACAGGAGACCTGGTGTAGGCTTACATGGCTGCACCTGCTCCTAGTCAGGACCTTCCTGAACACCCTGCATGACAGATGCTCCAGTGACTTCCAGTCTGCTGGCATAGCCCTTATACCAGTTTAAAGCCATTGAGCTCCCCTACCACTCCACGTCCTCGGGGAAGAAACATGTCCCTCTGTAGAACCCAAGGACAGATGGAAGGAAGGTAAGTGGGATGAGTTAAAGGGGATGGGAGGTGGTCCTTTCTCAAGCCTATGTCCAGGGGTGGAGATGTAGCCAATGACCAGCTGACCCCCTTTCACCATGATAGCCAATGTGACCTGGCTGACACAGTTACGTCTGGAGATCCTTGGGGAGCAGCCATGCTACAGGACTGTTGTGGGGGCTCTGCAGCCTGCGGCTGATTAGCTCAGGCTTTCTGGGTTCAAACTGGCAATCTAGCCAACACCCATATGCCTGGCAAATGAGCCCATCACAGGTTGCTCCTCCCACTGTCACTGTCACCTTGCTCAGTGCAGCTGCATCCTGCTGCTTGGATGATGCCTTTGTTACCACACTTCTTCCAGCCACCCACCCCAACATCGAGCTTGGTGATGGCTCAGGTCGGAAAGACCAATCCAGCGGAAGCTCTCTGGTGGATGCCAGTTCATCATGGACTCTCCATGGAGAGCTCCTCACCTAGAACTCCTCCCCACATATCATCAGACTCCTATCCACCAGTGTGCCATATATACATAGACACATGCTAGAGAGAGAGAATGTGCACGAGCAAGCTGGGGTGGTACATGCTATGGCATGGCTCTGGACCTCACATACTAGCTCATGCTCCTCCTGGGAATGGAAGGGCATGAGCTTCCAGCAATGAGGAGCTCTTGGTTCTCAGTGGAAGACACCTTAAATTATTAAAGCAACAGAGTGCCTATGATTATCTTAGCCCAAACTCAGAAGAAAGAAGAAGGTGGCTATTTAAGGCCAAGAGAATTGCTGGCACCTGAGGGAGGCAAATGTGGCATTTGATGGCCAGGTGCCTAGTCCCGGGGAGATGGTGTTTGTGAGCCAGCACTGATCCGTGAGCTCCAGCTACCTCACACTTAGTGGGGTCAGATGGAGCAGAGGGTTCCCAACACTAGAGAAACTCCTGAGATGGGAGCCATTCAGAGGAAAGACTCATGAACTCAAAGCAGCTGTCATTGCCTCTACACGATTGGGTCTCTCAACAGTTCATCATGGAAGAGGGAGGGGCTCATGAGGTTCCTTGATGGCTGCTTAGGGAGGGATGTCATTCTCTCCAGTGGTGTAAACAATGACAAGCTGCTCATGCTCCAATAAATAAACCCTCACAGCTGCCAACAAATAGTGGGTCCTCTCTCTCTCTCTCTCTCTCTCTCTCTCTCTCTCACACACACACACACACACACACGCACACGCACACACACACACACAACAAACACCATAAAGAAAAAGGAGGGGTCGGGAGAAAATTTATTGAGTTTCAGAAGGAGATGGAGGGTGAAATGGGGTAAGTAATGGGTTGTGAAAATATCTAGAGTGTTATATATTATGTGTGTGTGTGTGTGTGTGTGTATGCATGCATGTATGTATGTAGGTATCAAATTATCAGACAATGAAAAAGAGGACTCAAGGCTTTGGCTTTCAAGCCTGTGGCTGCAGGGCCTCTGAGCTTTCTCTGAATATACAGCTGAGACTTCAGGGCATAAAGTGGGGGCTGTTCAGCCCTGGGGCAGGCCTAGGGGGCTCAGTGAGGCCAGGATTGGGACAGGCATGCTCAAACTGCAAGACAGTAGAGTGGAGGGAACTCAAGAGACACCTCCCCAGTCAGGATTTTCCCAGGCCAAGAACCCACACTAGCTTTCTCAGGCAAGGGCTCCCACATCCTGTCCCCAAGGGCAAGGTGGCCTCAACTGTCCCTGCAGCTCTCCTTGGTAAGGGCCTACTCAATCTTCTCTATCAAAGGCACCATAGCTCTAGGTTTGGAGCTGGCTATTGGCAGTGATGGTCCTTGTGCAACAGCCAGGGGGTTTGGCAGCCACCCAGCACAAGGAACAGGAACCATCACAACCCAGGCGCTGCCACCCTGACTTCTAGGACTTCAGCTTTTCCACCATCGGCCACATTGGTCTTAACTCTCTCCAGTGAACACAGGTCAGAGATGTGTGTATCAGTGGCGAAGGGGCATCTCATAGACTTGGATCCCCCAAGTGGGGCCCAATGCCATAATTGTGTGTGTGTGTGTGTGTGTGTGTGTGTGTGTGTGTGTAAGAGAAGAGAGTACTACTGTGTCCCATGGATGGTGCAGGGACTTTATTTACCCTTGGGGAGACTCAGCCAATACCAGGATCTAAGCTAGGCAAGTATCCTCTCATCCTGTGGGAGGGAGGACAGGGACAGGCCTCTGAATCGGACTCCCACCTTAAGAGCTTATGCCTTCTGGCTCCTTCCATCAGTTTCCCAGGCGACCTAACCAGCTTCCTGGACCTGGATGAGGCTTATGCTCCTGTTTTCATCCCTGTGCCTGAGAAGAAGACTGTTGATAGCACTGTTGCTCCTCACTAACCTGAGAACAGTGGGGGGCACAGACCCTGTGTGTGAAGGGCACTTGTTCCTCCTTCATCGAACTCCCCAGCAACTCTTAGCTGGCACCAGCAGAGGGAGACGGAGAGCAGAGCAACTCCAAATGTTTAATAGACTGCGTCCCCAGAGGGCAATGCGCCCCCTTCTGATGGACCTCTGACTCACACAGCATATATCCCTGAGTGTGCAGGTGACAAGGGTGTGAGACACAGCCTTCCTTCCCTGCCTGAAGCATGCTTGTTTGCAGCATGGTTAGCCTGCTGCTGTCCAGCCCCAGAGTCATTATGCTCTGTATGTAGCCTTAGGGTGAGGTTTGTTGTCTGGCTCTGTGGACAGGGAAGTGTTGGCGTCTCATGGAGATATAACTGGCATCACCCATCTCTGCTACCTGGGGAGGATAATTCTGCATGTAAGGAGTGGGCAGATGCTGCTAGCTTCAAAACTGCCCCCTCTCCCTGGGTGCCAGAGGGCACAGTTGTGGGGCTGGAGTATAGCACTAAGCAGACAAATTTCTTGTGCATCTGGGAGGCCCAGGTGCAGCTGCCATGTCTCACTCACCAGCCCTGTGTGAGAGCAGAGTTCCAGCCATCAGTCCTTCACAATCCCATGAAATCAACCTCATTGTCCCATTTTATGAGAAAGACCATTTAAGCAAGGTCAAATGGCTTTCCCTAAATCAGTATCCTGCCTGTGAGGACTTGTGATGTCACAAAACAAGGCCCACAGCATGTGGGCTGACACCAGTCCACAGGCCAACATAAACTCATAACCAAGGACTGTGATGAGAGCCAGTAGGAAAGGTGTGGTCCTAAAGGAGGAGCAGCAGGCCTAACCTGAGGGAGGGAGCTGCCAGTGAGTGGAAGTCTGTAACATTGGAGATATCAGCGAGTCAGAGAAGAGAGCTTGCCAGGCTGAGGCAAGAGCAGGTACAAAGGTAGCAGAGAGAGAGGCAATTCAGGAGGACTAGAGGGCTTCCAGGTGACCTGGTTCAAGGAAGGAGCCAGCAGTTGGAGTAAGTCAGAGTGTAGAAAAAGCACTGTGGCTAGATGTGAAGATTTAGGAGCCATTTCAAAGATGGTCACTCTGGCCTAGCAGCCGGGGAAGTAGCTCAGCCACACCACTTTCTCCAGAGAGACAAAACAGAGAGGAAGAATGAAGAACAGCAGCTAAGTGGCCACTGCAGGAGTCCAAACAAGCAGGAAAGGATTCTGGTGTAGACAAGGAGGATTATGGGATTGGGA